CTTTTATTACAGCCCAGCGGTTGGTTAGGTATGATTTTTACTAGTCAGCAGCATTTCAAATACATTTAAATCTGGCGTGTGGAAAATGAGAAATGTCAACATTTTTGTCTTTCACTGAAGCATGAAGCAGAGCCTGCGCTATCATTTGGATATAATAAGGATCCTGCGTACTTGTCTTTTGGACAAATTCTGCTTTATGGTGAAATCAGCTTTCGTATGTTACTGGTGTTGAATTGACAATTTGTCGATTATCAAAAGCCTTTAAAATGAGCATACTCTTAAATTCAGAAATGAAACTCAGAAATTCTAACTTCTGAAAAGTTTTAAGTAAATAATGGAACAAGTGATTAAAGTGAGTCTATAATAATGTCCTTGGTAGCATTGTTTATAAGAAGAGATAAAGTTGAAAGCAATCTTAAATGTACCTCAGTGGAAAATTAGTTAAATCATAGTAGATCCATGTAATTATTATGTGTGTGTATACCTAAGTGGAATACTGTGTTGCAATTGAAGTTATATTTTGCTAATGTTAAAAAATCACATAAGCAAGGTAAATTAAAGAAATGGTTTATGAAGTGAGATGTATTAAAAAGGAAAAGATCTGTGCATGCACAGGAAAATGGTAGAATACATCACTTACTCATCGTGTTCAAATCTGGGTGGTATGATCCTAGGGAGTGGGTTTTACTTTCTCTTTTATATATTTTGAATTATCTGGTTAAAAAAAAATAATATGTGAGAGTTCCTTTTAAAATCCAAAAGAACAATTGAGGGTCTTTTTTGTTCAATTTTGGAAGAAAAAAATAATAAACCCGTGGAGTTAGTAGAGTGGGAAAGTCACCATGAGGGAGGCCTAAAAGCTAAGAAATGGCTCTTTGCTTTGCATGCTGAAGGCTACTGTAGGGAGCCTCCCAGTTGAAGAATTTCCATTCCTATCAAGTCCTTTGGCATGGACACACTTTTACCTATAGAGCCAACTGATATATTTTTGAACCAGCAACTGGACATGTTATGATTGAAAATGCTGTGAAACCATTTTAGTTCTTTTTTGTTCTTAACTTTGTAAACAATTTTAATGTTTTTGTTTGTTTGTTTGTTTTTTATGGTCATAGAAATTTTGCCCTGTACTATGGTTAGGCTTTGCGTCCCCACCCAAATCTCATCTTGAATTGTAATCCCCGTAATCTCCACGTGTCAAGGGAGAGACCAGGTGGAGGTAATTCAATCATGGGTGCAGTTTCCCCCATGCTGTTTCATGATAGTAAGTTCTCACAGGATCTGACAGTTTTATAAGGGGCTCTTCCTCCTTTGCTCGGCGCTTCTCTTGCCATCTAGTAAAGAAGCTGTCTACTTCCCTTTTGCCTTCTGCCATGATTGTAAGTTTCCTGAGCCCTCCCCAGCCATGCTGAACTATGAATCAAATCTCTTTCCTTTATAAGTTTCCCAGTCTTGGGCAGTTCTTTATAGCCATGTGAAAAGGGGCTAATAGACTCTAGTAGCTGTGTACACTAGAAAAGAGGCTCCCAATGGAGAGTGGTTGCCTATAAACTTTAAGCTCTACCAAGCGAGAAGAGTTAGAAGAGACAGTGGAGATGATCGGTTGTTCAGGTTACTCCTCCACTGAGAAATCAAACATGAAGAGAGATTACATGTGCTGTGGCCTGTGTGGCAAATCTAGTTCATGTCAGAGCCAGCAATACCCAGCCGTGATGCCCAGTGGGTAGGTGAAAGGAGAAAGATGGTAACTTATCAAAATAGTGGGAACTTAAGGGCTTATGGTTATATTCCATGAAGGGCTTAGAGGAGTTTTGTTTTCAGGATAGCTGTATTAGTTTGTTCTCACACTGCTATAAAGAACTGCCCAAGACTGGGTAATTTGTAAAGAAAAGAGGTTTAATTGACACAGTTTCCACATGGCTGGGGAGGCCTCAGGAAACTTAGCAATCATGGAGGAAGGGGAAGCAGGCACCTTCTTTACAAGGTGGCAGAAGGGAGAAGAGTGAGGGAAGGAGGAACTTGCCAAACACTTATAAAACCATCAGATCTCATGAGAACTCACTATCATGAGCACAGCGTGAGGGAACCACCCCCATGATCCAATCAGCTCCCACCACATTCCTCCCTCAACACCTGACACCTGGGGATTACAATGCAAGATGGGATTTGGGTTTGGACACAAAGCCTAACTGTATCAATAGGAATGTCCCATATGGAATTTTAATGCCTCTTGCTTGTCTTGGAAGAAGGCCCCAGGTGACAGGCATGACCTCATGGCTGATTCAGAAATGTAGAAAAGTAAATTGAGACTTTCTGTTTGATTAGTTTGGGAAGCAGTTATTAAGGATTGATTCTCCCTGTTGTGGTTAAAGTTGTCTCCCAAGAAAGAAGCCAAAAGAATATTAAGCCAAGAATCTGAAGGGTGAAGCCAAACCACTGGGAAGGGCTTTCCACTGCAAACTACAATGTGATTGAATTAGAAAGGAACATTCAAATCATGTCCTGTTGTCACCTCAAATTAAACAAGTCTAAAATTGAACTCATCTTTCCTCACAAAGCAGCTCCTTAACTGAACTTTCCTAATAACGGGAAGATACTGCAGTGTCGAATGCTTTGTCATGACATACTTATTATTTCATTTGATTGTCACACACAAGAAAAGTTATCTCAGGTTAATCAAAGAGCTGTAAATTAGTAAGAGACCCGTTCTAAAACCCAAGTTTTCTGAATCCTAATCTAATCATCCATTATCTATATCCCACTGCCCCCTCCTCCATATTTGTAGAATAAACTAGCCCTTTTTATAGAATTAGTAAGTGACACTTTATTTGTACTGGTTTTTGAGGATTGCGCATGAGCAGATTTTTGTAAATAGGAATTCAGATTTTTTCAAGTAGCAAAGAAGAAACCAACCAACCTTTGGAAGCGTTAATCCTGTTTTTTTGTGAGATACCTCGGTGAAAAAACATTCGTAACATTCTTATTATTGAAGTCAAAAGATGACACAGATGAAATAAAGTACTGAGTCTAAGCCTAATAATGCCTAATTTATAACTCTAACATGAGCAAACCATCCTCAGTTATATTAGGTTCATGTATGATATAAGTGGTATAGTTCTGTTTTATTTTAATTTGCAAATTACTTTGGCTTTGCAATGATACAAGAATCATAAACATGTTCTAGAGAAGTGCCATACAACAGTGCACCTATAGTTAACAATACTGTATTGTATACTTTAAAATATGCCACAGGATGGGTTTCATGTTAAGTGTTCTTACCACAATTTTAAAAAGAATTATTAGTATGAAAGGTTTACATATCTGGATTTCTATTTTGTAGACATGTAAGTAACATTGTAGCAAAAACACTGCAACCCTCTAATACAAAAAGCAGCTTGCTACACAATGCAGCCCCATACCCACACCCAACCCATTGACCCTTCAAGCCAGCACCCATGCTTTCTTGGCACTCTGTGTCTCATCAAACGTGTCAAAATAGCTATTTCCTCTTGAGTATGAGCTTCTGCAGTTCCCCAGCCCCAATTCTTTATTTGGAAATAAGTCTTAAGAGAAACAGATCTAGCATAGTGATATTGATTTGTAATTTCCTCAAATAGGTATTCACTTTAGATGACTACAAAAGCTAAATAGTGTTCAAGAGCTCAAGACTAGCCTAAGCAACATAGTAAAACCCCATATCTTAAAAAGAAAAGTACAAAAGTTAGCTGGGTGTGGTGGTGTGTGCACCTGTAGTCCCAGCTACTCAGGAGGCTGAGGTGGGAGAATTGCTTGAGCCTAGGAGGTCAAGGCTGCGTGAGCTGTGATCACCCCACTGCACTCTGGCCTGGGTGACAAAGTGAGACTCTGTCTCAAAAAAAGTGCTAAATAATGTATACACATGTGAAGTCCTCTGTGTCTCTTCTGTCTGCCCCAGCCCATAGCCATCTATCTAAATAAACAGCTGTGGGCCATTGTGTTGTGCCCAGCATGTGGGTGGAATGATACTAAAGCATGTTTTAGAGCAGAAGAGGGGGGGCTTTAAAGGGAGCTGCCACCCCTTCAAAATGCACTGACTCCGAAGCATCCTACCCATTGTCAGTAACACCTTCTCTCTCCAGTGAAAAACAAAATCCAAGCAAAGAAGATATTCTACTCCCAATGTTAGTAATAGACATTATTTAATATAATATTTAATTTTAATAATTAGTATAATTACTGCAATTAAATTTAATAATTTTGGCTTATTAACACCAAAGTCCTGGTTTGGTAGTGTAACTTAATTCTTTTCTGATCTTCGTGACAGTGTCTACACAAGTAACTCATGCAATATGCTAGATCTTTTTAAGTAAGCATTTTGATTATTTTTGGTTCAATATTTTGGGTCTCTTCTTCTAAATCTTACATACTGATAATCACCTTTGTAAAGAAATGCTAACCCAAGGCCGGGCGCACAGGCTTACACCTGTAATCCCAGCATTTTGGGAGGCCGAAGTGGGTGGATCACGAGGTCAGAAGTTCAAGACCAGCCTGGCCAGCATGGTGAAACCCCCATCTCTACGAAAAATACAAAAATTAGCTGAGCATGGTGGCGTGCGCCTGTAATCCCGGCTACTTGGGAGGCTGAGGTAGGAGAATCTTTTGACCCTGGGAGGACTAGGTTGCAGTGAGCCAAGATCACTACTCTCCAACCTGGGTGACAGAGCAAGACTCCATCTCCAAAAAGAAAAGAAATGCTAACCCATAGTTTCCAAAGGCAACTTGCTTTTGTGCAGAATGTTTTAGTTGTGATTTGGTCATTGCAAATTATCTTCTGTAGCTATTGGATTAATGCTTTTCAAATAGTTAGTCTGATAACTAGTTCACGAGGTCTCTAAACTTAAGGAACAGAACCATCCTTTTAGAATAATGTGATTCATTAAGCCTCAGGGCTGTTCCGGCCAAGAAGTTGGTGAAGACGTTTGGCAGGTGGCATACTGAAGAGGTTTGTCTTTGTAATGTTGCAGAATCGCCTACCAGAGGAACGACGATGATGAAGAGGAGGCCGCCCGGGAACGGCGCCGCCGAGCCCGACAGGAACGGCTGCGGCAGAAGCAGGAGGAAGAATCCTTGGGGCAGGTGACCGACCAGGTGGAGGTGAATGCCCAGAACAGGTACTGTCCTCTTTGCGATAGAGAATTTCTAACTTGTGTCTTAGTCTGTCTGTTGAATGGAATTTGTCAAGCAAAGCATTCCTTTCTCAGCCCAACTCAACCTTTTTCGGCCAATCTGACTTGTTTAATTATTTTGCGGTGTTTTAGGCAACGAATCTGATTGGATAGGCAATCTGGTTTAGACATCCCATTCCCATCTCGTAAACATACCCTAGTTGAAGGCTTTTATTTCATTTTACAATCTAGTATTTGTTTAATTTAATAAATATGGTGGGCTATATCTTTACATATATATGTATTTGTTTAATTTTTTTGTAATTTCAATAGTTTTGGGGGAACAGGTGGGGTTTTGGTTACATAGATAAGTTCTTTAATAGTGATTTCTGATATTTTAGTGCACTCATCACCCGAGCAGTGTACACCATCCCCACTGTGTAGTATTTTATCCCTCACGCCCCTCCTGCCTTTTTCCCTGAGTCCCCAGAGTCCATTTTATTGTTTTTATACCTTTGCATCCTCATAACTTAGCTCCTACTTATAAGTGAGAACATACGATATTTGGTTTTGGTTTTCTGTTCCTGAGTTACTTCACCTAAATAATGGTCTCCAACTCTATCCAGGTTTCTGTGAATTCCATTATTTTGTTCCTTTTTATGGCTGAATAGTATTCCATGTTGTGTGTGTGTGTGTGTGTGTGTATGTACATTTTACATGCAGTTACATGTGTATGTGTATATATAATGTATGTATGTGTGTGTGTATATATATATATATATATATATATATACATACACACACAAACAACATGGAATATAGATATAGATCACATTTTCTTTACCCACTTGTTGGTTGTTGGGCATTTAGGCTGCTTCCATATTTTTGCGATTGCAAATTGTGCTTCTATAAACGTGTGTGTGTGCAAGTATCTTTTTCATGTAATGACTTCTTTTCCTCTGGGTAGACACCCAGTAGTGGGATTGCTGGATCAAATGTAAGTTCTACTTTTAGTTCTTTAAGGAATCTACATTGTTTTCTGGTGGGTTATATCTTTAAATAAGGAGAAGTATTTACATTTATTCTATAGGATATTGCTATCTGTTAGGAACTGAAGATGTGTTAGTTCAATAGAGTCCTCCATGCCTACCATTAAGAGATATCACATGAATTTTTTAAGTGAGCATGAATTGCAGATGTCTTCTTTTTTCTAATATGCAGCCCGAATCAATAGTCTCTGATCACCATAATAGACAACAAGATACAAAATTCTGCTTAATTTAATGTGATTATCCAAACACACTTAATGAGTTTGCTATTACATTTTTTTTCTCACTCAGGCCCTGGTAGAAATCAGGGATGTTGAGAATGACTAATAGGCTCGACTTCTTTAAAAAGGGCTTTTGCAGCAGAAATAAGGTCACACAGTTCATTATGCTAATGGTTAGTATATGTCATTTATATTGTCATTTATATCCCCCAAGGTCTAAAAAAGATGGATATTTGAGGAGGAAAATGGAGAAAATAATTTCCATTTAAAACCATGGACTGATTATAATGGATATACTGTATAAGATCTCACATGTGGTTTTGGTTTTAGATTGTTTTATTTTGTTTAATTCAGTCTATTTAGAAAATGCTGAAGGGAATGGGGCCTGGCCTCCTTAACCCAAGTATGAGAGGCTGTATTAGAAGGTTTCTGAAAGCAGTCTTGAAAATGTTGGCAGGCAGCACAGATATTGGTGACCTTTTCCCTTGGTAAGTAGCTCTAACTGGGGAGTAAGCGGAGCAAAGGGGAAATAAGTATGATCTCTCGGGTTCACTAACTGACTTTGACTCCAACTTGACCTTTCACTAACTGATGTCTTCACTTAAATGGAAATAAAAATTATACCTTTCTCCTAAAAATTCTGCTAAACTTAAACTATGTAACAACGCATGTAAAATGCAGAGTGTCTTACACATAGTAAGCACTCAATAAATTTTCACTGTTACCAGATGCTTAACACTGGGGGGCAACATAGTCATTCCCTGCCTTTTCTATTTTCAAGCTGAGAGAGAAAGAATATAAAAAGTTTTAAAAATGGCATTTTGATGCCTTTCCTGAATCTTGTTATTAATGAGTGGTCAACAGGGGCTTAGAAAGTTACTGGTGGTGGTCTGTTGTTTTCTTGCTTTTAAAATCTTGCTTCTCCTTGTCCTTCTCTTCTCATATTTGGTGATTATTCATTATTTCATGGTATTGATTGAATTCAAATTCTTTTTTTTTTTCTTTAAGAAAAGCATATTGAGGTCTGAGAATATGTGATTTATCTCTGCCATATTAGCCACAAGAAGAATAATTAGTGTTGGGGCCAAATAACTCTTAACTGGCACTTGATATTTACTGATGATTATTGTCATGATTTATAAATAGGCAAAGAAATGTTCAATACAGTTTGTTGGGTTTTGGTTTTTTTGTTTGTTTGTTTGTTTGTTTGTTTAGTATAAGAAGACTTTAATCTGGCTAGCACTTTGGAATTTTGGTGCCTTTTAAAAATTATTAGAATTCAGTTGATCCAAATACCCTCTCTGTAGACTTCCCCTTAAATTATAAATTGTTTGCATTTGTAGGGACATTTAATCCTTACATGTCTAATTCGTGGAGGCAATATCCTGGAGCAAAAGGAAAGGCTAAGGAAATTTTAAAGCTAGTTTTTACTCTGCCATTTTTTGTTGTTAAATATGAAATGTGTTTTTCCAAAATTAAGTGAACTTGAGCTTCCAAAGGGCCAAGTTTGGTCTGAACTATGAAATTTGATGGAGTTTCTAAACGCTGCAAGACAAATTCTTCCAACTCTGGTCACAGTTCTGGTATCACATGACTGGGTGTTTCCTACAAGTAGGAACCAACACTCCCGACTTGGACTGGGCGTCGCTGGACACATGTGTGGTATCACATGACTGGGCGTCACTGGACACATGCTGGACACTGTCCAACACTCCCGACTTGGACAGTGTCCAGCATCCTGCAACAGCGAGGGAGGTGATGGACAACAGTTTAATTTTTAGAGATTTTCTTTTCTTTGTAAAATAAATGTTAAATGTAACTGCCCTTTGTCCACTGTAGAAAAGATGGACAAGAAACCCTTTATTCATGGAAATCTTGACAAAGAAGGTAGATTGTGTAAACATTCGTTGGGGTAATGCTGGCTGCTATAAAGATTAGTGCCCCCAAATTTTAAGTTTAGTGCAGTAACACTTACCATTATGCATATTTCTGTCTAGTAGGTGGAACCAGCCACCTGTCTTCTTTTGTCTTGTGACTCTCAAAACCTAGGGCTTGGCTCTCACTGATCTACCAGCAGACAGAGAGAGAGAAGACAGAGCATGCACCTCTGTTTGTTCATTGCCGGCTGGCCATTTCTGTTTACATTTCATTGGAAGTTATCGACCGCATGGCCCCACCTAGGTACAAAGAAAGGAGAAGGTGGAAATTTAATCCTTGAGTGGTAATCCCTACCCCCCTGACTACGGGAGGAGGAGCAGGAATTGTAAGGGACACTTAGATGTCTCTTCCCTTGGGGTCATTGGCATGAGTGTGGAATCTCAACACTGCAATGTACATTTTCTTCCTCTCAAAGGGCCTTGGGACCCTCCAATCCAGATCAGGAATTCTAGATGACTGGGTGACATGTGAGAATACTACCTGACACCAAACAAATTCACTTATTTCAGTTTAGTGCTTAAGTTTGAATTCCCCAAGAAGCAGTTCAGAAACAAAGATCTGACTGCTAGTGGTTTATTTGTAAGGTGATCCTAGGAAACACTGGTGGGGGTGTGAGAAGGTGAGACAGAAAAGGGAAGTCCACCAAATAAAGTTTGCATTACCAAGCACGTCACCACTGTGGGTGTCCGGAGTTTCACTCCACTGGGAAACTCTGAGATCCAGTGTGGAACACACACCTTGGAATTATCCAACTCAAAAAGTGAGGGGTGTCGAGGTAGCAAAAACACTAGGGCGTGTCCATTTTTGTTTGAAAGCTGCTTCCAGGGGACATTTCATACCCAAAGCACTTCTGGCATGTTGAGTAGACTCCAGTGCCCAGAGAAAGGCTAGCACATGATGTCAGCTGAAAGCCAGGCAGGCATGTACTAAAATGGTAATGGGCTGGGGATATGGATGAACTTGGCACCTGCTATAGTCCTGGGTGGCACAGGCTGTATGGATGCCGCTGACTGATGAATGAGCAAGCTGTCTCTGGTGTTGTTCTTTCTGTCGTACAGTGTGCCCAACGAGGAGGCCAAGACAACCACCACAAACACTCAAGTGGAAGGGGACGATGAGGCCGCATTCCTGGAGCGCCTGGCTCGGCGAGAGGAAAGACGCCAAAAACGCCTTCAGGAGGCTCTGGAGCGGCAGAAGGAGTTTGACCCAACAATAACAGATGCAAGTCTGTCGCTCCCAAGCCGAAGAATGCAAAATGACACAGCAGAAAATGAAACTGCAGAGAAGGAAGAAAAAAGTGAAAGTCGCCAAGAAAGATACGAGATAGAGGAAACAGAAACAATCACCAAGTCCTACCAGAAGAACGACTGGAGGGATGCTGATGAAAACAAGAAAGACGACAAGGAAAAGGAGGAGGAGGAAGAAGAGAAATCAAAGCGAGGGAGCATTGGAGAAAATCAGGTAGAGGTGGTGGTAGACGAGAAAACTGAAAGCCAGGAGGAAACGGTGGTAATGTCATTAAAAAACGGGCAGATCAGTTCAGAAGAGCCTCAGCCAGAGGAGGAGAGGGAACAAGGTTCAGGTGAGAGTTCCCATCATGAAAAGGTGGAAGAGGAAGACAAGGAAAGAGCTGAGGCAGAGAGGGTAAGGTTGGAAGCAGAAGAAAGAGAAAGAATGAAAGCTGAGCAAGACAAAAAGATAGCAGATGAACGTGCAAGAATTGAAGCAGAAGAAAAAGCAGCTGCCCAAGAAAGAGAAAGGAGAGAAGAGGAGAGGCAGAGGGTGAAGGAGGAGGAGAAAAGGGCAGCAGAGGAGAGGCAGAGGGTGAAGGAGGAAGAGAAAAGGGCAGCAGAGGAGAGGCAAAGCGCCAGGGCAGAGGAGGAAGAGAAAGCTAAGATAGAAGAGCAGAAACGTAACAAGCAGCTAGAAGAGACACGAAATGCCACACAAGAGACAAAGATAAAAGGGGAAAAGGTAAAAGTGGAAATAGAAGGGAAATGGGTAAATGAAAAGAAAGTGCAAGAAGATAAACTTCAGACAGCTGTCCCAAAGAAACAGGTACAGTAAACATTTTGCACCCTATGTGTGATGCCTGTGACTTGTGAGAAATGTAATGCACATCCAATTTGGGACTGAGGCCACATGCATATAGTGCACGTGCTTGATCATTTGGCAAGCTGTTCATTTTTTCAGGCCATAGCAATACGCAAGCATGCAGCAATTGATTGATGGCGGAATATTCAATCAACCAAATTTACTGGGACAGCCACTAAATTTGGCTGTCCAAAAGACAGAAATTAATTGCTCTGTGCTTGATTGTTATAAACACCAAAAAAAAAAAAAAAAAAAAAAAAAAAAAAAAAAAAAAAAAAAAAGAATTAATCTAAAGACGATAAAGGTGGTGGTGCTGTTGGTTTCTGATTCTGTGCCTGCATCTAAAATCATTCTTTTAAATATCTTTGCTCTATCTGTAGGTCTGCATGAGGCAAGAGGCCTGTAACTCCTTATCTCACTCATGGGTTTGACATTGAATAAAAAAATGATAAAAGCTGGGGTGGGAAATAGACATGAAGGATAATGGTCAGACATTTCATCTTAAGAAGGCAAAACAAACCCCTGGAAATTAACTAGTAATAAAGAAGGGAAAGGAACTGGTTGGAACCTTTCCTTAAAAAAAAAGTCAAAACCCTGATTTGCCAACATGCAGACCTCAGCTTAATGTAGACTTGCAGAAAGCCATTAATTTAGGGGAGTATCAATTTATAACTGACTGGTAATTAAGAGCATACATATTTGTTCTTTATTACCTGGGTGACATAAATTTACGTGGCTTGAGGAAGGGGGAAAATGTCGGTAAGCTTTGAGAAAGATGTTTTTTTCTGTCTGCAAGGCTGCATTAGAAGCTCTGTACCTAATAAACACCACACCACCACCATCCCTAAAACACAGAAAAAAAGAGATGCTTGCACATTCACCTCTCCAGAGCAAATTCTCTGTCACTAAGTCTGCAATGCACTGAAGTTGTCTTTAACTCCTGCTTCTATACAAGAAGCTCGTGAACACAGCTATAGTTGAGACCATGAGCACCGTGCACCAAACCGCACATGAGGTTTGTAAACACACACAAGGAGTGCCACACCATGCTAGATTTCAGTGAGTGCAATGGCAGGCACACAAGATGTTGGGATGGGAAGAAAATATCCCACCTTGCTGTTTAGAACCACTGTGCTGTGAGCGCTGAGACAGCAGAAGAGAAGCCATCCCGCAGCACTTGCAAGGCGATCCGAGCACCCTCTCACTCTTGTCAATTAGAAAGGTTTTCTTTTACTTGTATGACCTTACCATTCTTGAAAATAAAAAGGGAGAAGAAAAGGGAGCTAAAAGAGAAAAATTTCAAGAAGACAAGCCTACCTTCAAAAAAGAAGAGGTAACTATGATTGAGAAGTAATTATCCTAAAGCAACAGAAAAAGCAGTCAGTGACATCACATCTCAGGTCTGACAGTCTCAAAATTGTAACCTCTTATCCAGTGTATTTCACGCCATGACTCACAATACACTGAATAGTGAGATCTAGTTAGAATGTCTCAAAATTAAGTCAATGTATCAGTCAGCATTTTTTAAAAAATGAAACGGATAGAAGGCATCAGAGGGCATTGTAGGTAGTAAGTATTGCATTATCATGTAAATTGCCTCTTTTTCTGTGGGACACCATCAGAAAGGCTTGAAAAACACTGCTGGAATCAATTTATCCTGCTTTCTGTTCTTCTGAATGCTAATTTTTTTTCCTTGAGCCATCCTACTTTCATTTCAATCATGAAATATTTCCAACTGGCCTTGATTAATACTTTAACTTTTCAAAGGAAAAACACCCACCCACATCTCAGTAGAAAAATTGGTGAACTGGGCCGGGCGCAGTGGCTCAAGCCTGTAATCCCAGCACTTTGGGAGGCCGAGGCGGGTGGATCACAAGGTCAAGAGATCGAGACCATCCTGGTCAACATGGTGAAACCCCGTCTCTACTAAAAATACAAAAAATTAGCTGGGCATGGTGGCACGTGCCTGTAATCCCAGCTACTCAGGAGGCTGAGGCAGGAGAATTGCCTGAACCCAGGAGGCGGAGGTTGCGGTGAGCCGACATCGTGCCATTGCACTCTAGCCTGGGCAACAAGAGCGAAACTCCGTCTCAAAAAAAAAAAAAAAAGAAAAGAAAAATTGGTGAACTGAAGGTGATATTTGGTTTTCAAAAGGGAAGTTTGGCCAAATGTTCTGCATTGCATTTCTGAGGCATACACAGGAGCGGGTGCCAGGGTGCTTGACTGTAGGTAAGTGAACAAGGAGCTATACAGATAGAATGGCACAGGGTTTGACAGTAATCAGAATGCCACATCAGAACACCTGATTGCATGTCAATGCTCATGCTGTGTTTGCCCCAAAGAATCTTAAAAATTTTGACTATATTGAATAAATTCACAATACTTATTAGAACGTTGTGAAACTGAATTATCAGAAGTAGGAAGACCCGAAGTTCTTCGCCTCTGAGACTGGTGAAGTGATTTGTAGCCAGAAAGCTCCATCCCCACATAGGCTGTTGCTACATTTCTCTGCCTATCATGGCATCTATTAAGAAAACTCAAAATCTTTTTTTTTTTTTTTTTTTTTTGAGACAGAGTCTTGCTCTGTTGCCAGGCTGGAGTGCAGTGGCGCAATCTCAGCTCACTGCAATCTTTGCTTCCCAGGTTCAAGTGATTCTCCTGCCTCAGCCTCCCAAGTAGCTGGGACTAGAGGCATGCACCACGCCAAACTATTTTTTTGTATTTTTTAGTAGAGATGGGGTTTCACCACGTTGGCCAGGATGATCTCGATCTCCTGACCTTGTGACCTGCCTGCCTCAGCCTCCCAAAGTGCTGGGATTACAGGCGTGAACCACCGTGCCCTGCCAGAAAACTCAAAATCTTAAACAGAGAAATCCATATTTAGAAAACAGATGACGAGATTAAATAGGGGGTAGGTTATTTTCTTAACCATGTTTTGTAAATTTCACATGGAAAATGAAAACCCGTAGTTCATGTTATATACTACATTTCTGTTAAGATGTATGTTCCTCTCTGTTTCTAATAGAAGTTGTGGTGGTTTGGAAGGGAAAATTGAATATGAGCACAGACCATGTAAAGGAAGGAGAAAGTGTAAATGCTAGTAACAGGAAAACTGAATTTAGCTCTCATGGGGCATTCGAGGAAATCATTGAACATGCTGGGAAACACTTTTTACTTTGTGAACAAATACCTACAAATTCATTTACAAGAAAGAGAAATGAAAGTTACCTTGGAACTAAACTCAAACTGAAATATGTCCCACATGGGTTCCTGTAGTGTTTCTTGGTGAATGTCTTTATAGAAAGTGGGCATGATTCAGTAAACATGTTGGGAAAGTGAGGCTGTAGAAAACACTGGATTCTATATTTACAATTTCATTCAATTCACTAAAATGGGATTTGTTTGTACTGACCAAAGCTTTCTCTACCTATGTATAGTTTCTGAGAATTAGAACGGCCCATCAGTTACCACTGGGGTGATCCTTTTGCCTGTTTTCAGATAAGGCCCTAGTTCAACAGCATCCTTGGTGTCCATCAGATACTCTCAGGAATGACTGAGCCCTGCCCCTTTTCCAAGTTGCCCTTCAGCACATTCCAGCCAGTTCCAAAACCTTTGACCTGTTTTTGACACAAGGCCAGATAAGCCACTCAAAGCGGGATTAAAAGAAAAGAAAACAACCCAAATCGATACTCCTATTTTAACATCATGTAAATAATCTACTGGTAGAAAGACTAGGTTTTCCCCTTCCAGCTAGTTGCACTGTTTCTTCATGTAGTCAGCCTAAATCACATTTACATGATTCAGCCATTGTAAACTACGTCTTCCTTTATTTTTTTCCTTTTTGTTCAAAAAAGAAAGAAAGAGAACAACTAACTAAAACCTTTCCTGTCAAGGATTTTTGCAGCATAGGATAGGGCAACCACGAGTAAACACAGATATCACATGAGCCTTCTTAGAGAAAACATTTCCAGAAATCACTCCAATGTCTTAAAACACACACACACAAAATCTTTCTCCACTGCAGTTTAACTGTGGCAGTGAGTCACAAATGATCACCAACATTGAAACTGACTTCAGCTTGCTTTCTTTCCTCTCCAGTTAGAAAAAGTCTCTTTTTAGTTCTTCATGCAGGAGCTGTTTTATTTGTTTTCTGGCCTCTAACAGAAAAACAGAGTTTCTAGCAGAACTGCTCCTGAGGTGTTGAAATTGATGTTCATGTCATGCGGACCAACCCTTCCCAACCATAAGTGTGCATGCAAATCATCTGGGAGTCTTGCGTAATGCAGAATCTGATTTCTTGAGGTCCGGGGACCAAACTTTCAGTAGCAAGGAGTCTAGAAGACGTCCATGTTACAGAAATTGAACCCAGGAGAGGATCTGGGGCTTATGAAGCTAACAAAAGCGCGTTAAACCCAGCCTGAGAAACCCTAGCTGCACCCAGCACTTGTTGCTATTCTGGAACCAAATAATGCGAAACATGCTTGAGACACATCTCAGTCCTTGCTCGCTTGACTTTCTGAGTGTCTCTCTGGCACAGGAACCTGTCATTTGATTTCCCATCCCCCACCCCATTCCCATGTGTTATTGTACTGGATATTCCCAAGTATCTAGAGTTTCAAAACCCAAATGATCACATTTGACCACAGCCTTTCTTATGAGTATGCTAATGTTATCTGTGTATCAAGTACGCAGACTCTTTCAGGATACCTGGCTACCTGTGAATCCTTCAGCACAGACATTCTCTATGGTATCATTCTAACCTGTAAGATCTAATGCCTTTCCCAGGGGGCTCAGGATCCCATGAGTTTAGGTTAAATCTGCCATAACATCCAAAAATAAATGTAAAGGCTCTATGGAATTCTTCTATTCATTTCCCAGAAAGAGAAAATAATTTTCAGTTGAACTCAAATCATCATTATTACATTGACAATGTTTCTCAGAAGGTTTTCCGAAAAGAACATAAGCCTACCGTCCACTATAGCCTTTGCCAATAAAGGCATAGCATGAAAAAAAAAAGGTAATTTTTCTTCTGTTAGACATACACTGTTTTACAAATCTACTTTAAACACTTTGGGGACCAGTAAATCAATCATATATAATAAATTTGGGGAGAATGGAAATTTTTCTGACTGCAAAATAGGAGAAATGAGCTAAAGGGAAGGTCTCCATACATAGCACTCCACAGACCGTGAGATTCTACTCAGAATTTGTTTCATGGTTATCTCTAAAATAGGTTGCTCTCCCATTTGTAGCCACAGATACTTCTTAACCAGAACATCAACTCCAGTCCATGGTTTCTGGGGCTGAGTCTAACAGCGCAGGCCAGAGTGAGAATACATTTTACTTCCTCCTTCCTGTCCGATGAACACTGATGTATTTACTCTTGGGCAAGGACAGCCGTGAGGGAGCCACAGTGAGGCTGTCATTCAGGCCACGAGCTTGCTCCTTTTTTCTGTAGCCTCTCATGACCCGTGAGGAGCCAAGAGGGAAATGACAAGATGAAAAATTCAGAAGGAATCATCTGGTCCAACCACATCTTTTCACATATGTGGGACCAGCATTCCAGAGTAGTCAGGTGATTTGGCCAAGTAACACAACTAGTTTGTTATCAGCACTGGAGCCCAAAGTCGCAGTTCCTGATTTGCAGACAACGCTCTTGGAGGGAAAGGCAAGGCACAGCCCTCCTTTTCAGTGTGTCTGAGGGACATCCTAGGTATATACCCCATGGTGAAAGATTGAAGTCTCAACTAATTCGGGCAGCATAGCGAATTTCTAGTAATTAATTAGCCCTAATACCCAAAGAAGACAAAGGGCTCAAAACTAATCAATAAAGACCAAAAACCTGTGCTCTTCTTTGTAATACATGCACTTTAGGTCAATCACAGTGGCTCACGCCTGTGATCCTAGCACTTTGGGAGGTTAAGGCTGGCAGATCACTTGAGGTCAGGCGTTCGAGACCAGCTTGGCCAACATGGTGAAACCTGGTCAGTACTAAAAATACAAAAATTAGCTGGACGTGGTGGCTCATGCCAGTAATCCCAGCTATTCGGGAGGCTGAGGCAGGAGAATTACTTGAATCCGGGAGGCAGAGGTTGCAGTGAGCTAAGATCACACCATTGCACTCCAGCCTGGGCAACAGAGCAAGACTCTGTCTCAAAAAAAAAATAAAAAATGCACTTTAGAAGTAAATCTTCAGAGAATATCTGAATAAGTGGGAAGGAGTGAGTGATCAGGTCACAGCAGAATGTCCTAGGCAGCAGCACCTAAAGTCCTGAGTCCTGAGTCCTTATGGCCTTCCCTTCCTCTGTGAGTTTCTTTAGAATGCTCATGCTTTGTAACTGTCTTGAAAAGAACCATTGTGAATGCACCTCACCCGTTTTCACACTCATCTTTTAAGAATGGATGAGATAATGTGATTGAAGTAATTTGAACTCCTTTGCCCCCTCCCCCACAAAAAGCTATGTAAATTCAGTTTACTTTTAAATAATCTCTCATTTACTGTAAGAAACACAAACCCACAAAATATGAAAGCTAACACCTGCCCACCATGTATCATCTTCCCATGTCTTCCACAACAATCATAAAACTACTTCCAGAGTACTAGATTTTTACAGACAATGGAAATCAAGGGAAACCCTGGACTTTCTCCTATTCCATTCTAACTTTAATGGTTTAGATGACTACAAACATGGTCTCGCAGATCCCAAATATGCCACTGAATCCTCTGACTAAAGGTAGGGTTATTAAGTGTCCCATCCTTGGGACCGAATTTACTTGTTGATTAAAATACTGGTCTTTGCCAGAACTGGCTTGGCAGATCTAGCTAAACTGGTAGGTTTCATTTCTTTCTTTCACATTTGTGTCTTCCTCACAGATTCTCTCTCCATCCAAGAAGAAACCTGTCCAGGCAACCTGGCCATTCTTCATCAAAGCCACCCTACTAATTGCTCTGCCCAGTGGGAACTGCAAACATCTACTTTTACATGAAGTTCCCATAACTTAACGGTTTCCAAACAATAGTACTACCACTGCTCTTGAAAGTAAAAACCTCAGTGAGATCAGGAATGATCTTGCCTTCTCAAAATTGTGGTAATGGTGTTTGTTCACAGGCTAAAGGACCATAGCTCATTCTCTAAGAATTTGCCCTGATTCCAACTCTACCACATCTGAGTGGTTTCTTTCTGAGTTTTCTGCCTTCCTAACAAGTTTGGGTCTTATTTGGTGATAGCAACCAAAATCCTAATAAGATTTTTCTTGTTCTGTTCCTTCCTGATATGTACTGGTTAGATCAAAGATGAAAAGATTAAAAAGGACAAAGAACCCAAAGAAGAAGCTAAGAGCTTCATGGATCGGAAGAAAGGATTTACAGAAGTTAAGTCACAGAATGGAGAATTCATGACCCACAAACTTAAACATACAGAGAATACTTTCAGGTAAGAAGTAGCAACTAGTTCATAGCAACTGTTCATATGCCCAAAAAAAAAAAAAAAAAAAAAAGTCTTCTCATCCTTTGCCTCCAGACAGAAACGTGCTGAACAGGCAGCATGCTTTTGTTGTGAGGTCATTCGCCATTGTCTTAGAGATGCTCAGTCAGCAGGTCCGGTTCCCATATCACTAACAGAAGACCCGCAGTCACCACTCAGACAGGGCTTAATCTGCATTTCCCATTATTTTGAAAGGCAGATCATGTTTGGCATCCATGGTTTTTTTTCACTGGCCTCATGTGAGATGAGTGTATTAGAAAACATTATGACTGGGATTCATACCATTCAATGATTCTGTCTATGATCTGAGCACCTTCATAAGAGACCCTTCTCAGTACCATTTTCAAGAATGCATTTTCTAAAAGTTGTATATAAATACTGCATAAGACTAAGATTGTTTTGTGGCCAAATACTTGGGAAACATTAGGTAAAGCTCAATTCATCAGATTTCTTTACCACAGGACTTTGAGAGTCCTTCATGTTCCTCTGCATTAGAAGTCTCTAAGAGGGAGTGAGAGGGTATGGACCTGCTGCTCTATTTCATACAGTTTGGCAAAACTCTCTTGTAGAGCTTGAGCTTTCCCTTCAACATAATCCCCTACCCCATCAAATTGAAAATCTCGGCAACTGATTATCAGACAGACTAGACGAGTATGTCCATGTAAATCCTCATTTCTAAATACAGTCGAATTCTCAGAGCTCTCTAACAGTTTTGTAGAAGAACTTGAGGTGCAGACACTGAGCTGGCCATGTGATGCCTGTGCTCCTTTCCCGCAAAACACTCCCTCCAACTACTGGGGCCAAATCCCAACCTCTGTTACGTCACTGGCTGCTGTGCCAGATGTGCCGAAGAGGAGCCTTAGGTCCCTGCCATGTGGATTTCCCTGGGCTTGTTCCTTGGCTGCAGCCTTGCCTATAGACCCCGTTTTTCTGAACGCTTCAAATAAGAAAGTCACCAAGTAGGTATGAGGGAGAAGTATGACATGCTTCTTAGACCAAAGCCTTTGTAATATTCAGAGCAGGTGGAGCTGCTAGGGATGGACATTTCAGGCTCATCCAAGAGGCTAAGATGGATAAATACAGTTGCCCCAAAACAATTTTTCTATACAAAAATTTGAACAGAAGCTGACTCATATTTATCCAAAGGAGAACCTAAAGCAGACAGAAGGTGTACATAAAAGGTCGAAATAAAATGATGAAGGTGTAAGAAAGGTAGAATCTATAGCTGTTACTTGGGATTGCCGAGAGAAGAATGTTAAAATTACGTTTATCGAACATTCACAGAAAACCTACAAAGCAAGCGATTCAGGTTAGTAAGTTGAGTCTAAAACTTGCTGAAGTGCCTGAAGTTTAATGTTTTAAAGCTCTGGAATAGTGTCAGGTCCATGAAAAGTGTTCAGTGAATGTTACCTAATATTGCTATTTTTTAATTAATAGCTGAAAATATGTCTTATAGGCATAAGGCTTTTTTAAGGTCTGAGTTCTGTTTTTGTTAAGAGAAATGTTTAAAAAAATCTGTCAGTAGAAAAAGGCCGTTTAACAATTAGCAAACTTGCCAACAAGCTTCAGTCAAAGCTCAAATTAATAATTAACATGCCTATTGTGTAGAAATCCAAAGAGCTGGGTCATTTGAAGGGAGAAATAGTCACAAGAGATGGTGACAAGTTGAATGCTGAGAATCCTTAAATGTGACTCTGGCCTTAATTTTTCTATTTTGGGCAGGAAAAAAAATACAGGAACAAGCTGCTAGCGTATTATTTATTTTAGTTTAGCCATCAATGTATGTGAGTTTTAGCTTCAAGTTCATGATGACAGAAGCAGAGAAGTGCAGTTCTGCTCCATATACAAATAAAATGAGGAGAGAGGAAGAGAGGATCAGCCTTCATTTAGATAAGTTTAGTACCTGTCAGCTTAACTGAAAACAAGCTGCATTCTTAATGGTCAAAGGCTGGATACTCATCTTGACTTACACCTAAAGAATCCCTGGGGGGAAAGAACTTTATGGAAGAGATTTCCACATTAAGTGGCACCCTAATGCCGAGGTCTTGTACGTAGGCAGAGATGGTGTGAACAAAACTTTTGCTCCTCTATTGAGCATAGCTGTTTATGTTTGATTCAATTACTGTTCCCTCTGATGTTTGCTTTTTCTTGTAACTCACTTGTTTTCTCCAAAACATGACATAAAAATCTCCATTCAATGAGCAAGATATAGCAGTGCAAATTCTACCAACGGTTTTATAGAAAGTGCAAAGTGAAGGGCTTTTTGACGTTTTGTTTTTTAAGGTGGGAATTAAAAGTTTTTTTTTTCCAATTACAGGAAAAAAAATGTACTCATTATAAAAATGCTCAGAAAATAGAAGAATAAAAATAAGCATCCACCACCCAACGATAACCACCAGTAACACTTTTTCCAGCTGTTTATCTATGTATATAATATTCAAGATAGACACACGTGTGTATATTTATATGTAGTACATACGTGTGAGTATACGTATAACTTTACATTGATTCTTGCACCATGCATAAGAATGTATCATAGCTTGTTTTCTATACAAATAAACATAAGCCTATAATTAATGATATTAAAGCCTTCCACTGGATGGATGTATTGTGATTTACTAGTCCCTAATGACGAACATTTTGATTGTCCAAAATGAAGACTGAGCGACACCTAGTGGAATCCGCAGATGTTTCCGTAGGCATGTGTTTTGCTGGTCTAGTTCCTGTACAGTGATACGATGAACACAGAGAGCGAGCAAACTCATTTTTGAAAGGAAAGACCCTAAATTAACTGAGAGAAGAGTCACAGGCCTGTGAACCTAGAAGACCCTGAAAGAGCCTTTGACAACAAGATTTCGAGGGACCCTTTAACCCTGTCTGAGTTCAAAATAAAAGTTTACCTTTAACTGTCAAGAGCCTAGACCTACAGTTTTAAATTTTTTAACCTAAGCCCTTAGTAAGAAATAAATTTTACATCATGACCCACAGTACAAGCCTGTATATATTTTTATAACTGAAACAAGTGTGTCAAGCAATGGAACTTTCTTCTGCTATATGCAATGCACTCTGATACTTTCTGTTTTGTTTAAATGTTGATTACAATCTACTAAATTGATTTTCTGGTCTGAGGCTTGAAGATTATTGTCCTGGAGGACACAGTATATTCAGAACGACTTCAGTGTTTAAAATCAGTGTGTACAATGTATTTCTTGAACCCATTCCTTGTTTTATTATTATTATTTTTTTTTTGAGACAGTCTCTCTCTCACACCCAGTCTGAAGTACAGTGACCCAGTTTCGGCTCACTGCAACCTCCACCTACCAGGTTCAAGCAATTCCCCTGCCTCAGCCTCCTAAGTAGCAGGGATTACTGGCACACGCCACCATGCCCAGCTAATTTTTGTATTTTTAGTATAGACAGGATTTCACCGTATTAGTCAGGCTGGTCTCGAACTCTTGACCTTTTGATCCACCCCCTCCTTGGACTCCCAAAGCACTGGGATTACAGGCGTGAGCTATGGTGCCTGGCCATTGTTTTATTCTTTCTTTGGTTCTGCAGCTAGCAACACTGTGCCATTCTTTACATGTAGTAAATGGTATTAAGGTGTGGTGATTCCTTTGTTCCTTAGACAAAAGTGTCAGGAATAGGACACCTACATTCTCATCTAGTTAAGAATGACCTCACTACTTGCTAATAAGTTTTTAAATGGCAAAGCTGTATCTCTGTCTCTTAAAGACTACTTATAACAAGGGCCTTCAAGCATGAAATTCTCCTGAGTAAAGTCCCAGGCAAATCCAAATCAGGCAAATTCTGCGTTAGTGAAAACGCTGTATTCTACTGAAGTTCTACTGTGAGTATTGACATGTTTTAAAATGATCAGTGTTCTAATTCTACCGTATAGCAAATTTATTAAAGAAACGTAGGGGTCACAGTAGGTGCTAATGATATGTCTCCATCTTTTATAGATGTGTAAAATACTAACTACCTGTTCTGAAATATAATTTTAACATAAGGACTTCTGGGATAGCATTCTGTCTTAAGTCTTAACATGTTCCCAATTCTGCAGTGAAATCCCTGTGTATCCTCCTTAATCACAAAAGTAAACAACGTAATTTGAATTTTAGTTCTTATGTAAAAACTTACCCATTTTCTTCCCATTTTATAAGCTATTCTATCTGATGAGGCACAGTATTGCTTCTGCTCAGGCACAGAATGTAGCTAGGCCTAGACTATAGAAATTCTAGAGACAGAGGTAGGAAATGTTCCTCTCAGACTCCATCCTGAAGGTTTGAGGTGAGAGGCGGAGAGATGGGCTAACGTGTTGTCTTTCAGTTTATTCATTGTTTCATAACAAGACACATTTTATTTCAGGTATAATTACAGTATAGTGACAAGAAGAGCACATCTAATGGATAAGCATTAGAATCTGATTCTGGCTCAGCTGCTTTCTAGCTATGAAAAACTTGAGTAAATGATTCTCTCTCTCGCCTGTGGTTACCTTATTTGTAAGATGGGGATGATAAACCTAACCTGACATCTTCCCAGTTATTGTGACTGTTAAATGAAGTCGTGGCTATGAAAAGGGTTTAGAACACATAAAGAATGACATGTAAGTCATCACCTTAACCGTGGCATACCAAACTAATTTCATAATTTTAAGTCTGTATAAGGAATAGTCCAGTTGTGTTGGAGTCAAAGAACATAGAAGATACACAAATGGAAGCCATAGGTTAATGCAGTCATTAAGGACTTCCTGGAGCAGCTCTGTAAGAATGGACATAAATCACTGTGTTTAGCGATAATCAAGGGGCAATGGGTAATTTCATCTACCAGAGATCAGCTGCTAGAGTCAAGCTCAAGGCAAAGTTGTGGATAGATGGATTTACTTCAATGCCTACCCTTAGTTCAGCCACTTTTTCCCATTCGCAGTGCCTGAACCTTTCTGTCTTCCCTCCTGATCCATTACTCTAGGTAGATCCAAGTTAACCAGTAACTTATGGGAAAGGACTGGTCAGGTACTACGAGACTTTCGAACTCACTCACAAATAATGTTTTGGACTCCATGCCTTTTTTTCCAATAACAACTAACATTCATATAGTACATGATATATAAATTATATCAGTATGATATCTATCATATTGATATAATACACAATCCCATGCAACCCACTGAGGTAAATAGAATAAATAGTATTTGCCCCATTTTTCCATGTTGTAGCATGTATCTTTCTTAAAATTGTAGTAAAATCAAACATAACCTGAAATTTATCATCTTAAGCATTTTAAAATGTACAGTTAAGTCGTGTGAGGCATATTCACATTGTTCTGCAACATATCTCCCAAACTCTTTGCACCTTACAAGACTGAAAGGCTACACCCATTACACAACAATTCTATATTTCCTTCTACCGCCCACCCTCTGCCTCTGGTAACTACAGTTCGATTTCTGTCTCTATGAATTTGACTACTTTAGATCCCTCATAGAAGTGGAATCATACAGTATTTGCATGATTTCTGTGACTGGCTTATTTCACTTAGCATAGTATCTTCAAGGTTTATCCATGCTGTAACAGGTAACAAGATCTCCTTCCTTTTTAAGGCTGAATCATATTTCACGGTATGGCTAGACCATCTTTTTTTTTTTTGAGCCGGAGTGTCGTTCTGTCCCTCAGGCTAGAGTGCAGGGGCGCCATCTCGGCTCACTGCAACCTCCACCTGCCAAGTGACAGGCTTCTGTCATCATGCCCAGCTAATTTTTGCATTTTTAGTAGAGACGGGGTTTCACCGTCTTGGCCAGGCTGGTCTTGAACTCCTGACCTTGTGATCCACCCACCTCGGCCTCCCAAAGTGCTAGGATTACAGGCGTGAGCGACCGCGCCCAGCCCCACTTTTTATTTATCCACTCCTGCCATGATGGGCCTGCGTCCATCTCTTGGTCATTGTAAATAATGCTGCTGGGAACATGGGTATACAACTATCTCGGAAAGACCCTGCTTTCCATTCTTTCAGAGGTATATCAGAAGTGGGATTGCTGGATCATGAGGTAGTTCTCTTGTTGATTTTTTGAGGAACGTCCATCCTGTTTCCATAGCAGCTGCACCACTTTACAGTCCCATATTTGTCACATTTTACAGCTGAGGAAACGAAGCCCAAGCGGCAGAAGTGAGGCTCCCATTCGGCCCGTGTGATTCCAGGCAGACCCCTTTCCCAACCTACCTACCCCTTGGGCTAATGAGAGGCAGTGGGGATTTGGTGTGGAATGCAAAAGCCACAGAACGACCTCGCCCTCCTCCAGGGGGACTGCAGGCAAAGGCATGTCAACCCCTTTCCATTGCTCCCCCCAACCACAGCCGCCCTGGAGGGAGGGCCAGCCTGGACTCCAAGGAGGCTGAAGGCGCCCCCCAGGTGGAAGCCGGCAAGCGGCTGGAGGAGCTTCGTCGTCGCCGCGGGGAGACTGAGAGCGAAGAGTTTGAGAAGCTCAAACAGAAGCAGCAAGAGGCGGCTTTGGAGCTGGAGGAGCTCAAGAAAAAGAGGGAGGAGAGAAGGAAGGTCCTGGAGGAGGAAGAACAGAGGAGGAAGCAGGAGGAAGCCGATCGAAAACTCAGAGAGGAGGTAAGGCAGGCGCTAGCCGGCTGCAAACGTGGCTGGGGAAGATTCCCTAGGGCCCCGCGGCTGCTCTTTTGAGCATGGGCTCTTAAAAATATTTTTTCAGAATAATAAACTTACCATGTGCTAGGTAAGGTTCTAAAACTTGTAAATATTAATTTGCCCACTGCTTCTAAGAACTCGCTGATACGGGTACTTATGCCCATTTTACAGATGAGAAAACAGGCACAGAGAGGGGTTTTTGGGTTGTTTTTTTGTTTTGTTTTGTTTTGTTTTGTTTTTGTAATTTTTCCTGAGAGTTTCCCTTGTGTTAACCCATTACCCTTTACTGCCTCTCAAAAAGGAAAAGTTAGAAAGCTGAGAAGGATGAAAGGTCTGCAGATTAGTTACAGGAATGAAGTTATGTGATACTTGTTTTCGAGTAGCTGGAGACTTTTTATAGAGAATATTAAAAAAAAAATTTTTTTAATGGGCAAGTAAGTAGATTAGAATGTAAACAGGCAGGGACAGTGTGTTGTTCATTACTGTATACCCGGGACTCCATACAGTGCCTGACATGCAGGAAGAGCCCCATCATTATAAATAGATGAGTTTTGTTTCATTTTTTAAGACAGAGCCGAAAACAGCAGATAAAGTTACAAGGAAGAATATTTTGGCTCAGTATATGAAATAACGTTTAACGAACTACAACTTATAATGAACTACAACTTACAGTTTACAAAATGCAGTCTTTCCTTTCATTCCTGACATACGTTCTTCTCATTTTATGGGCAAAAAAAAACAGGAATCAAATAGTTTGAGTGACTTATTTCAAGATTCTTGACTAATAAATGGTAGAATCAGTATGGAGACCCCACTTTTCCAACTCAGATCCTAGAACTTTTGAGGTAGTGTTCTCCCATCATTCAAAATATGAAAAAAAAAAAAAAAAAAAGACTTTCAATGGCATTTTGACATGGATCCTATGCAAAATTTTCCTGAACTGTATGGAAAATTTTGATACATTATTTCAAGGTCTCTTCTAACTCCAACTTTCAATGAGCCAATGATTTTAGTTGGGAAGTAATCAGAATGATAGAATTTTAGAATTAAACATACCCAGGCTTCTGGTATTTTTGTTTTTTTTGTTTTTGTTTTAGTTTTAGAGGGAGTCTTGCTCTGTTGCCCAGGCTGGAGTGCAATGGCATGATATCAGCTCACTGCAACCTCCGAGTCCCTGGTTCAAGCAATTCTCCTGCCTCAGCCTTCTGAGTAGCTGGGACTATAGGCACGCACCACCACGCCCAGTTAATTTTTATATTTTTAGTAGAGACAGCGTTGCATCAAGTTGGCCAGGATGGTCTCAATCTCCTGACCTCATGATCCACCCGCCTTGGCCTCCCAAAGTGCTGGTGTGAGCCACTGCACCTGGGTTTTGTTTGTTTGTTTGTTTTTTTAAGACAGAATCCCCCTCTGTCGCCAAGACTGGACTGCAGTGGTGCCATCTCGGAACATACCCAGGCTTCTGTCCTAACTCTGCCACTACAAGCTGGGGCCTTGGGAAACCTGGACTATTCTGCATCTTCTTTTCCTTACCTGTGAAATAATATCGACTTTGCGGGATTCTTCTGATGCTTTAATAGATCACCCAGTGCCTGGCACGTTCTAGGCACTCAAAAATTGGTAGATATCATTATTGCCATCACTGTTATTATGATTATTATTCAGAGAAGGAAAGTATCAGGAAAGGCTGAAGGGAAATCATGAGGTCTGAGCACTGGATTGGACCTAGGCAATTATTTGGGCCAAGCTGCCAAACACAGGATCCTTCTACAACATCCTCTGACAGATGAACGTCTACTCTCTGCTTGAGAACATGCAGTGATAATGATCTGACAGTCTAAGAACTACCTGAGACTGCATAAATCTCTCAGAAAATCGAGTTGTACAACTTGATCAGAGCTCTGAATTTTTTGCCTAATAGAGAAGACAGGCTATTCTAGACTAGGAATGAAGACACAGAGGGGTTAATGAGACAGACTGTAAACATTTGCGATTGCAACACCATGATGCAAGGTCTACAGCGTTTCAGGTTTGTCAAACCATCTAAAATTATTTACTCACTTGAAGCGGGGAGCGACCATAAAAATCACATCTTGTGCCATCTGGCAAATATAGTACCACAGATTTAGATAGCTTTTCACGTAATTTATTCATTTGTCTTCACAACTCTCCTAGGATGTAGGTAGAAGGGATATTCATATTAATTTTACATATACAGAAGTGCGAGATCATTGTTAATGACCCACAGGGCGGTGGTGATTAGGTATCACCCTGTGAGAAATCGCCATAATGAGTGTTAGTCTAAGCTGGGGTGTCCAATCTTTTGGCTTTCCTGGGTTACATTGGAAGAAGAAGAATTGCCTTGGGCCACACATAATGTACACTAATGATCACTGAGCAGCTAAAAAAAAAAAAAAAAAAAATCACAAAAAGTCTCCTAAGGTTTTTTTTTTTTTGTTTTTTTTTTTTTTTTTTTTGAGACAGAGTTTCGCTCTTGTTGCCCAGGCTAGAGTGCAATGGCGCGATCTCGGCTCACCGCAACCTCCGCCTCCTGGGTTCAGGCAATTCTGCCTCAGCCTCCTGAGTAGCTGGGATTACAGGCACGCGCCACCATGCCCAGCTAGTTTTTTGTATTTTTAGTAGAGACGGGGTTTCACCATGCTGACCAGGATGGTCTCAATCTCTTGACCTCGTGATCCACCCGCCTCGGCCTCCCAAAGTGCTAGAATTACAGGCTTGAGCCACCACGCCCGCCGTCTCCTAAGGTTTTAAGAAAGTTTACGAATTTGTGTTAGGCCATGTTCAAAGCCATCCTAGGCATCATGTGGCCTCTAGGTCATGAGTTGAACAAGTCTAGTGTAAGCATTTTCCATGTGCTTTCTCATTGAGTCCTCATGAAAGCCCTATAGAATGAGTACTATTGTTATCCCCGTTTTATGGATGAAGAAACTGAGCCACCAAGCAGATAAATAATATGGCCAAGGTCAGGCAGTTGGAAAGTGGCAGCACCAGAATGCAAATGCAGGCAGCTGGACTCCAGCTCTCAGGCTCAACCTCTGGTGACCACCTAGAAGGAGAGTGAACATCCTTAAAGAAAAGAACTTTCAACCCAGAATTTCACATCCAGCCAAGCTAAGCTTCACATGTGAAGGAAAAATAAAGTTTTTTGTGAATAAGCAAGCACTCAGAGATTTCATCACCACCAGGCCTGCTTTGCAAGAGCTTCTGAAAGAACCACTACACATATGAAAGGAAGAAACAGTATCAGCCTTTCTAAAAAAATTATCAAAAAGAGCATCAATATAATGAAGAATTTACATCAACTAATGGACAAAATAGCCAGCTAATGGCAGTATTAAACTCACATATATTATTATTAATTCTAAATTTAAATTGACTAAATCCCCCAATCTAAAGACAGGCAATTTGAATAAAAAACTAAAACCCATCAGTATGCTGCATCCAGATCCATCTCACATTCAAGGATACACAAAGACTCTAAACAAGGGATGGAGAAAGATTTACCAACCAAACAGAGAGCTAAAATAAATAAATAAAAAGCAGAAGTTACAATTAAGCAACAAAGATCAAAAGAAGTAAAGAAGGACATTATATAATGATAAAAGGATCAATGCAACAACAAGAAGAGCTAAAGATCCTAAATATATATGCACCCAATACAGGAATACCTAGACATACAGGACTTATAAAGAGACTTAGACTCCCACATAATAATAGTGGGAGACTTCAACATTAATATTAGACAGATCAGTGAGACAGAAAATTAACAACGATATTCAGGTCTTGAACTCAGATCTGGAACAAGTAAATGTAATTAACATTTATAGAACTCTCCACTTTAAATATACAAAATATACACTCTTATCAGTACCACATCATATCAATTTAGAAGTTTAAATGAAATCTTGGTTGGCTCCTTGTTTGTTATTCTCTTCCCTCATTTTCTTTCATGTCTCCATTATTAAGGACAATTATAGGCATACCTATATTTAGACTGCATTCTAGCCTGGGCAACAAAGCAATACTCCCATCCTCTCTCCCTCTTCCTCTTTCTCTTTCTTCCTCTTCTTAAAAAAAAAAAAAAAAAAAAAAAAGAAGGAGAGTGTCTGGTCTGCGGCTTGGGTCTCCTGCCTCTCTGACTGTGCGCTCTCTCCTACGGTGCTCTTCCCTTTGGCTGTGAAGCTGATATTGATGTCTCATTATTTGTTCTTTCTCTCTTAGGAAGAGAAGAGAAGGCTAAAGGAAGAGATTGAAAGGCGAAGAGCAGAAGCTGCTGAGAAACGCCAGAAGATTCCAGAAGATGGCTTGTCAGATGACAAGAAACCATTCAAGTGTTTCACTCCTAAAGGTTCATCTCTCAAGGTATTTTTTTCCCAGAAAAATCTTCTTATAATACCTCTGTTAGAATATAATAGAAACTGGATTTTAGCCCCTTGCTTAGTTATTGATTATTCGGGGCCTTTGTTTCATTTATCTTTTTGCTATCCTTCCATGTTAATCTGTTCAGACTGCTCTAACAAAATACCTTAGACTGGAGCCAGGTGTGGTGGCTCATGCCTGTAATCCCAGCACTTTGGGAGGCCGAGGTGGGCAGATCACCTGAGGTCAGGAGTTCGGGATCAGCCTGGCCAACGTGGTGAAACCCCGTCTCTACCAAAAATACAAAAATTAGCCAGGCGTGGTGGCACGCACCTATAATAATTCCAGCTACTTGGGAGGCTGAGGCAGGAGACTCACTTGAACCTAGGAGGTGGAGGTTGCAGTGAGCCAAGATCATGCCACTTCACTCTAACCTGGGCAACAGAGCAAGACTCTGTCTCAAAATTTATTGCTCACAGTTCTGGAGGCTGGGAAGTCAAAGATCAAGGTGCCAGCAGACGTGGTATCTGGGAGGGCCTGTCCTCATAGATGGCGCCTTTTCCCTGTGTCCTCACAAGGTGGAAGGGGAAAGGGAGAAAACGGACTCCCTTAGGCCTCTTTTGCAAGGGCACTAGTCCCACAAGGACCCCACCCCTCTTACTTAATCACCACCCAAAGGTCTCACCTCTTAATACCAAACACATCAAGGATTCAGTTTCAACATCTAAATTCTGGACCATAGCACCTCCTTTCAGCTATTTCACAGCTTCTCATTGTTTACAACACATGGAAAGGGGAGACGGTAGTGAAATTTTCATCTATTGTTTGTTAGATGTTTTGGCATACATTAAAATGACATATGGCGATTATCTCTGAATTTCACCGATCCATATTCCCCGTGTGCCTCATTCCTTTGAACACTTGAGAATAGAAACATTTAAAGTTTACAAAATGGGAACATATATTTTAAAAGTTTAAGCTGCTTTTCATGCTAGCTGTTCATTTTTTTTTCTTTGTCATGATGAAAAGCCAGCTGGAAATGGTACCGGTGCAAATTGTATAGCAATTATGATGGGAGTAGGTGAAAAGTGATTTGCAGAGGGTCCTTTTCCTGGATGGCTTTGGTTCTATGACAGCCTTCATGGAGCACAGCTCCTAACTGATGTAAAGCAAAGTGCTGCCAAGAGAACAGAGAAGGAGCAGGAATCAGCTGAGTCAGGGAGATGATAGAATAGTTGAGATGTAGGAAAAACATAGTGGGCTCAAGAAAGTACCATCCTTGATTTATAATCAGTCCACCATTATTGCCAGTGGCAGTTTCTTTGAGGATTAACATCATTGAGCATCTAGCACAGTGCCTTATATCATATTGAAGATACTTAATAAATATTTGTTACATCATGACTGAATGAATGAATCTTCAGTGACTGGAACTTTGAACATTTCATTTTCCATCAACTTAGCTAGGTTATAAAGCATCAACAATGAGCAAAGCCAGGATAGAATCATACCCAGGTCTGGCTGGGCACAGTGGCTCAGCCTGTAATCCCAGCACTTTGGGAGGCTGAGGTGAGTGGATCACCTGATGTCAGGAGTTCAAGACCATCCTGGCCAATATGGTGAAACCGCATCTCTACTAAAAATACAAAAATTAGCCAGGTGTGGTGGCACACACCTGTAATCCCAGCTACTTGGGAAGCTGAGGCAGGAGAATCACGTGAACCTAGGAGGCAGAGGTTGCCGTGAGCCAAGATCGTGCCACTGCACTCTAACCTGGGTGACAGAGTGAGACCCTTTCGCTAAAAAAAAAAAAAAAAAAAAAAAAAAATTAGAATTTTTAAGCCCCAAATGGCTTCCCTTAGTCTTTATGATGATCTGGGTCCCAGTCATATTTCTGATACCTCCCAAATAAATTATTTGTACTCAAACCCTTGTCTCAAGGTCTGCTTCAGGGAAGATTCAGACTAAGCCGCAGAGGGATTATACATTTAATATTTGATTATTTATGAAATACTTCATGCTATGTCCTATGAAGGAAAGAACAAAGCAAGGTGGCTGCCCTGATGGCACTAATGACTGCCTCAAAGAAGCAATTCAAGAATTACAAAGGTGACCAAATGCTGATCTCAGAGCAGAGCAAAATGAGGAGAGAAAGGCCTTGCGGAGTAGGCAAGCTTTATTTATGAACTCTGAAGTCATTTTCCAATGTCATGAAGTGTTGTTATTCTTTTGATTTTTTTTTCAACCATTTAACAATGTGAAAACTATTCTCAAGGCCAGGTGCAGTGGCTCACATCTGTAATCCCAGCACTGTGGGAGACAGAGTCAGGTGGCTCACCTGAGGTCAGGAATTCAAAACCAGCCTGGCCAATATGGTGAAACGTCATCTCTACTAAAAATACAAAAATTAGCCAAGTGCAGTGGTGGGTGCCTGTAATCTCAGCTATTCAGGAGGCTAAGACAGGAGAATTGCTTGAACCCGAGAGGTGTCATACCCCATACTCCAGCCTGGGCAACAGAGTGAGACTCCATCTCAGAAAAGAAGGAAAGAGAAAAAACCACTTCAGGTTGGGGGCTATGTGGACAAGTGGGCCATGGCTTGCAGAACCCCTGCTCTAGAAAGCAAAAACCCCCTGGGCTCAGGCTATCTCTTTACAGCTCTCAGAGTTCAGCCCATTCCCAGTCTAGGTCTTCTGTTCCTGGCTCAACAATAATCAAAGAAAACCATGCCCTCTCTTTACACCTTGTTTAAAATCCCACCCAAGCCTCCCTTGAACGGTCTTGGTAACATGAAGAAAGCAGTAGTCATCTAAGACTTCCAAATTCTACATTGTTTTTCCCAGGAGAAACTATAACTCACCCTCCCCTCCTCTTTAATTATTTCCTTGCCACCAAATTTCTCAGCTTAACTTATTTCTCTGGTCTTTCCCTCAACCAGATGCAGGCTTCCCATTTCATTTAGAGCTCCCAAGGAGCCATTCATCTACTCCCTCTGGTGGAGAGATATTTGTCTGCAATTGACTAAAGTAGATGTATATAAAAAAAAAAAGTCCAGGAAAAAGTTTCTATATCAGAGAGACACGTATTCAGAAGCAGACACTCTATGATTCTCTCCATGTATGTGCCTTGAAGAACCTGCTATCGCTCTGATTTTCAAAATCAAGTTCATATTCTACAATTTAATTGGAATAGCTATTAATACCCTTGGCCCTGCAACTTTTTTAAGTGGTCACAGTTAGCATTGTAGAATACCGATGGGAGGAACCATATTTGCTATTTGACATCAAAGTACTATCAACTAGTGTATCTTTTGAAAAATATCTCATGATTTCTATTCCTTGTTTGGGAAAGTCTGTGCCTGGTTTTTCATCATTAAATTACGTTAGCAGTGAATGATTTTGATATGTAATAAAGAATAAATTTTGAGTAAATTAAATTCAAAGATTTTTAAATTTCTATTGCTTTCGTATGTTGGTTGGGGGCAGGGTGTGGTGTAACAAGAGCAGCAGTTTTCTAAAATGAATAGTATGCTTGTATTTCGAGTTTTATTGAGACAATACTGCCACCTCTTGGTCTTCAGAAGAACCAGTTTCCCTCATTAAACTCCTTAAACAGAATATGTAATATACAAATTCAGTGCAAATTGTTAAATTACACAGAGTCACTGAGCTAGGATATTTTCCAGCAGGAGTGCATCAGTAAACGGACGGCGCGTCCTGACAAAATGTGCAAAATGTGATGATGAAGTCAAGCTATGTCAGCTATGATAGATACAAAAGGAGGAGTGTGAATCTGAGAACCTTGATAATTTGAATAAATGCCATGGCCTAGGTTAGAAAGATGATCCCTGAGTCATAAAGACACTGCAGCTGGGGCAAAGAACAATTCTCCCTCCGATATCCCCTTCTGCAGTACCTCTATCCTCCCACCACACGGAATTTTTCTTTATTCTTCAGTGCCATCATGCTGCATGCCTTGGTGGCTCCCCAAATCTTTGTACATATGCCTTGCTTTGCCAGGAATGTCTTTCCTGGCTGTGCCATGCACGTCTTTGCTCGCTTTCGTAAACTCAGTTTCTGAAACCGTGTCAGCCAGAAACTACTGATCTCAGCTCAGTATCAAAACTACTGAAAAGCCTTCTCCAAATCCCCTGGATAGTTACTTCTCTTATAAGATACAGCATTTTTTTTTCCTTTTCTTTAATATTATAGCTACTGTTACTTTTTAAATACTTGCCTCCTAAATTTTGGGTTCCTTAAAGAATAAGACCTTGTTTTCCAGGCATGGTGGCTTATGCCTGTAATCCCAGCACTTTGGGAGGCCGAGGCGGGCAGATTATCTGAGGGCAGGAGTTCGAGACCAACCTGACCAACATGGAGAAACCACACCTCTATTAAAAATACAAAATTAGCCGGGCATGGTAGTGCATGCCTGTAATCCTAGCTAGTTGGGAGGCTGAGGCAGAATTGCTTGAACCCGGGAAGCAGAGGTTGCGGTGAGCCAAGACTGGGCCATTGCACCACTCTAGCCTGGGCAACAAGAGCGAAACTTTGTCTCAAAAAAAAAAAAAATGATTAAGAGCTTGTGTATCTTAATTTGCTCAGGATGCCATAACAAAATATCACAGATTGGGTGGCTTAAACAATAGAAATTTATTTCTCACAGTTCTGGATGCTGGCAGTCCAATATCAAGGTGCGAGCAGATTCAGTTTCTGGTGAGAGCCTTCCTCATGGCTTACAGTTGGCTGCCTTCTTACTGTGTCTTCACATGGTGGAAAGAGAGCGGGTGAGCTCTCTAGTGTATCTTCTTATAGGGATACTAATCCTGTAGGATCAGTGTTCCACCCCTATGATCTCGTTTAACCTTAATTACTTCCTTAGATGCCCCATTTCCAAATACAGTAACACTGGGGGTTAGGGCCTCAACATATACATTTTAAGGGGACACAATTTGATCAATAACACTTTTTATTTATTAGTATTCAATTTTATTTAGAAGGTACTCAATATATAATTTATTGGCTAATTGTCTGACAGGCTGGCAGGAACAAAAATTGGATGGATGGATGGATGGATGGACAGACGGACGGACACTATTAAAAGTCCCAGTGCATTGCACAGTTTTAAACTATTTCACCTTACTCACCTGGGAACTTTTTCCACAGAAGTATACTTCTAAGTTTATAATTAAAATCAGAAAAATAAGAGTTACTTTATAGGTTTTTTTTATATCCCATAAACTCAGCATTACTCATAGTACTTTTTTGTATAAAGTTTTTTAAGTAAGAGTTTGCTTTTATCTTTGTAGGAAATCATTGGAAAGAATGAAATGCTCTTACTAACATGTATAAAAGTGTTATTCAACTGATATTCGAGAGGAAGCATGAAGCACATTAAAAAAAAAAAAAAAAAAACTCTGTGATATTTATTAATTGCTCACGAATCCCAGACCAGTCTGGGTCAGAAAGAGCTCCTTACATCTTGGAGAATTGTGTGTGTCCCCTCAAAATTCATATGTTGAAATTCTAACCTGAAATATGTTATTAGGAGGTGGGACCTTTGGAAGACAATTAGGTCATGAGGGTAGAGCCCCCCTTAATGGGACTAGTGCCCTTGTAAGAAGAGACACAGAACCTTACTTGCTTCTCTCCTCTCCACTATATGATGGCCCAGCAGTTTGCAGATGCTATCTGCAAACCATGAAGAGAGCTCTCACCAGAACCCAATCATGCTGGCAGCCTAATCTTAGACTTCCCAGTCTCCAGCAATCTAAGAAATGTTTTTTGTTTTAAGCCACCCAGCCTATAGTAATTTCTCATATTAACCAGAACTCACTGAGACAAGGGGCTACTCAAACATACTAGCCGAAGGCAACTATAATCTAGTATATTTCTTGGCTGCCCTGAACAGGGAAGAAAATGCAATTTTTCAGCCTGCGTGTGCTTTTAAGCAAAGAAGATATTTGCTGATGGTATTGATAAGTGATGGGTGGCAGAGGATATTTCTGGTCTGGAGTTAGGTATGGCATGGATTCAACAAAAATTTGCTTATTGCTAACATCTAAATTTAAGGGATACAGTTTCAGTAAAATATAATGTTTGATTTAGCAGCTTCAGTTGTAGCAAAAAGTTCCTAACTTAAAACGACAACAACAACAACGAAAGAATTCATCAAAGATCACTGAACTGCTCATTTTTTCTATGTCCATCCCAGTTTCTTTAGACTTATTTCCTAATTTTACACTTGGTCTAAGAGGGTCTTCAGGGGAAGCCTCAGCCATTGCCGATGAGCTGTGCCCGGTCCTCACTCTACCTGCATCACATCTTTTACATTACAACACTAATTAAGTTCAACAATAGGCTTGATGATTGACCCTTGTCAAGTTAGGAAATCAAGTTAAGCAATAAGAGACTAGTTCACATTTCCTAGTTATTCAATCCTGTTACATACCAAATCTGTAGTTAAAACATCATGGGAAAACTTCGTTACTCAAATAGCACAGTATGTCTATAGTAAATTATGCCCTAAAGGGTAACAGTGTGTATTTTTGACAAAGTTATGCAAGTTTTGTTTTTTGTTTGTTTTTATTTTTGTTGAGATAGATGCTCATTCTATCACCCAGGCTGGAGTGCAGTGGCACAACCTTGGCTCACTGCAGTCTCTGCCTCCCGGGTTCAATAAATTCTCCCATCTCAGCCTCCCAAGTAGCTGGGGCTACAGGCACATGCCACCACGCCCAGCTAATTTTTGTATTTTTTAGTAGAGACAGGGTTTCACCATGTTGGCCAGGCTGGTCTTGATTGCCCGACCTCAAGTAATTTGCCTGCTGTGGCCTCCCAAAGTGCTAGGATTATAGGCGTGAGCCACAGCACCCATCTGACTGTGTTAGTCTTAAATTTTAATTATTTATTTATATTATTTCAGAGGCATTTTTATTCCATTTCTGTCTGGTCTTTATTTTGCCTTGAAAACGTGATTTTTTTTTTACACATTTTCTCTACCCTGTATCAATCTTTCCTTCATTCCCCAAATCTTACTATCGAGTACCTTATTTGTAGTTTTGCTTTCTAGCAGAGCTATGCACAGTAACCCGTGTGTTTATTTACCAGGTTCAGGGATGATATCGGCCTGGGCTGAGAAACACTGTTTATAAGCTGGAAATATTAATTGGCTTTATTTTCTTTTGCAATTCCTAGATAGAAGAGCGAGCAGAATTTTTGAATAAGTCTGTGCAGAGAAGGTAAATACGGTTGGTGGTTCAATTGAGCTAATCAGCTAGCATATGTATTGGATGATTCTCTCTCATATTTTTATATGTCTGTGTTTATTTTTTTAGCAGTGGTGTCAAATCAACTCATCAAGCAGCAGTAGTCTCCAAGATTGACAGCAGACTGGAGCAGTACACCAGTGCAATTGAGGTGAGAATTGTCCTCAGCATTATGGACCCGCTGAACAGAAATAGATTCTGACTACATAGAAGACCACAAAAACACTTAGGGCAATAATCAAATCCAATAGCCCCAGTAGTGCTAGCATTTTTTTTTTTTTTTTTTGAGATGTACCCTTGCTGTGTCACCCAGGCTGGAGTGCAGTGTACAGTGTTGGCTCACTGCAAACTCTGCCTCCCAGGTTTAAGTAATTCTCCTGCCTCAGTCTCCCGAGCAGGTGGTATTACAGAGGCCCACCACCACCCTCAGCTGATTTTTGTATATTTAGCAGAAACAGAGTTTCACCCCATTGACCAGGCTGGTCTTGAACTCCTGACCTCAAGTGAGCCACCTGCCTTGGCCTCCCAAAGTGCTGGCATGACAGGCATGAGCCACCGTGCCCAGCCCCCAGTAGTGTTAGAGTATTAATGATGCTTTATTACACTTTGTAATTCTAAGTTCTAAGAAATACAATATAAATTTTAGATGAGTTTAAATAAATTATTTTCTACTTTCAGCCTGAATATTGTTTAATGAAAAGGTTACTCTTTTAATGAATGGGTTTATTAGTATTTAACTAAAATTTTTATACATTCACATTTATGTCTTCACTATCCCTAATTTCTTATGAAATATGTTCCTATATGTGGTTTGAAGAGGTCTCTTACAATCTTAATCCTCTGTTGTTTATAAAAACCTCTGATTATTGGCCGGTGGGCGTGGTGGCTCACACCTGTAATCCCAACACTTTGGGAGGCCGAGGCAGGTGGATCATGAGGTCAAGAGATCGAGACCATCCTGGTCAACATGGTGAAACCCCGTCTCTACTAAAAATACAAAAAACTAGCTGGGCATGGTGGCGCGTGCCTGTAATCCCAGCTACTCGGGAGGCTGAGGCAGGAGAATTGCCTGAACCCAGGAGGCGGAGGTTGCAGTGAGCCGAGATCGCGCCATTGCACTCCAGCCTGGGTAACAAGAGTGAAACTCTGTCTTTAAATAAATTAAAAAAAAAAAAAAACTCTGATTATCAAATAAAAGTAGTACTATAATGTAATATAAAGATGATAGCCAACCCAAGTTTATCATCAATTTCAAACTGAGATTTTTATATTTGAAGGACCACAGTTTTATGTGTCTATCTACTTCACCTTTTTTTCCCTACCCAACTGATCTGGAGGTTTTATTCTATTTGGAAATGGGTATTTCCCAGTACCAAAGCACCAAAAGGGATCATCAAGATGTGATCCTGCTTTTTTCTTCTTTGTGTAGACTTTAGTCAATGGTTTTAGCCTCTTCTACATCAGAGCACCTTCTATGAAGTAACTGGATCAGTTTGATTTGATTTTTTCTTCTCCTACACTCTAGAGTGGAGATACACATGTAATAGTTTACAGATGCTAAGAGGAAATAAGAAGGAGAGGCATCTAATGATTTGTCAAAGGAACAATCAAGTCAACACTAAAGATGTGATTTACAAGACTAAATGTCCACTAAAATAGACGACGGATTCCAGATCATCATTTTCTGTGGTTGAGTTGGTCGTAGCGCTAGTAGGTGTAATGAAACCAAGCCTGTGCCTTTAAACTTTGCATAGTCCAGTGAGACTGTTCTTTATGCCATGGCCACTAATGGTGTCACTCACCCAAGAAGGCCTTGCCTTCTTGACCATAGGCACAGGCCATAAAGCAGGACTGGAAGAGAAACTCGAGTCATTTGGGGTATGGCCTTCATTAATGCTGGGGGAGTGTCTTGAATACACTTCTTTCTTACTTACATCCATTTTTTCCTCCTTTCCAATATATTTCCCATGCAGGGGTATCTCAGTCTTTCCATCTTTTAGCACTTTCCTGCCTCAGGAATTTTGCACATGCTGTTACCTCTGCATGGAATGGAGTTTGCTCCTCCTGTTTACTTCCTCACTTTCTTCTGTCACATCTGGGTTTAAATGTCACTTCTTCAGAGTAGCCTTCTTTGTACCCCCAACTAAGTATTATCCCGTAGTTGTGTGCCATGCTTTATGGCACTTCATTATTTTTCATAGCATTTAGCAAAGTCTGAAATAAATGCTTATATAACTAGTTACTGTCTTCTCTTTCTATTAAAATATAAGCCACCTGCAGCTCACAAAACTGTCTTTTTTTTTTTTTTTTTTTGGAGACAGAGTTTCACTCTTGCCCAAGCTGGAGTGCAATGGCGTGATCCTGGCTCATTGCAACCTCCGCCTCCCAGGAGGAATCAAACGATTCTCCTGCCTCAGCCTCCCAGAGCCTAGCAAAGTGCCCTGCATACAGTAGGCATTTAAGAAGTATTGTTGAGGCCAGGTGTGGTGACTCATGCCTGTAGTCACGGCACTTTGGGAGGCCAAGGCAGGAGTATACCTTGAGCCCAAGCAAGAGTTCAAGACCAGCCTGAGCAACATGGGGACTATGCCTGGCTATTTTTTTCATTTTTTTTTCTCTACAAAATAGAAGCCTATGGTTCCAGCTACTCAGGAAGCTGAAGTGGGAAGATCACTTGAGGCCTGGAGGTCATGACTACAATGAGTCTTAATTGTGTCACTGCACTCCAGCCCAGGTGACAGAGCAAGACCCTGTCTCAAAAAAAAAAAAAATCTTGAAGAAACAAAGTGAAATATCAATTTCACAATAAATGGTGTCCCAACAGAAACCATATTCCATTCTTGGAAGATCCTCTGATCTGGCTGTGAGGGTTCATTTTGAGGGACATATGTCATCAGGACACAGTTTACAACAGAAATTATCACTGTCATTTTCGGTGAAGGTGTTTACACAACGACTTTTTAAGATGACAGCGTTGGGGAAGACAAGCCCCCTACAACTATGTGAGAACAGACTTCTTCTTGCACCAGTCCTAAAAATAACTCACACATTTCAGGGAACAAAAAGTGCAAAACCTGCAAAGCCGGCAGCCTCGGATCTTCCCGTTCCTGCTGAAGGGGTACGCAACATCAAGAGCATGTGGGAGAAAGGGAACGTGTTTTCATCCCCCGCTGCAGCAGCAGGCACCCCAAATAAGGTGAGCATCTGATTTTTTTAAGTGTAGAGGGACACATTTTTTTGGCATGTCGATTTCAATTTAGGAATCACACTAGTAAATAATAAAAGCAGTGTAGAAGGTGCAATGTGTACTTTGTTTTGCAATGACCACAACAGCAGGCTCAGAGAGAACGTATTCGTGAGGTTGCCCTACGTGGAAGCCCCGGCTATTGTTCTCTCAAGTGCCTGAGCTGAAATGTCCACCCTTGGGGTTGGAGTAGGGTGAGTTACAAGGGAAAGAAAACCAGACAGCATATTCTGTAAATATCAGGTGTTAAGATGATATTTTGAATTTGCCTTGAAAACTCCTTCCCAGGTAGTTAACTTTGTTTTTTAATATTTTGGATGATTCCCCTTTGTAGGAAACTGCTGGCTTGAAGGTAGGGGTTTCCAGCCGCATCAATGAGTGGCTAACTAAAACCCCGGATGGAAACAAGTCACCTGCTCCCAAACCTTCTGTAAGTACCTTTAGGTTTTTCTGAGTTTCTTTGATGCAGAGGAAGAAAACAATCAGTTGGTCTGTTTACCTAGGAATCACAGTGCCCCTGTTCTCTGCTTTCCCCGATGAATAACAAAGAAGAGTTCAGATTTACAACTCGAGAGGTACAAGAAAGGGGGGTTGTAAAAGGCCACTACTGAGACAAGAGGCCACACCCAAAAGTTCTGTGCCTCAAGTTTTCCCAGCATCTCTGGTATCAGAAGGAGTCGAAATTATTTTCAAAAATGAAACAAAACAAAGCCATTGCAGTGTATATAAGTTTGGTGGTTCCAGACCAGTGATTATTAACCTTTTTTGAATTACGAACCCCTTTGAAAACCTAATGAAATCTAAGGACCCTCTCCCCCAAAACATACATATAAAAAACAAGACGGTCAATGGACCGGCTGAGAAACTCAAAATAACAAGGAGAGAAAGATCTGTTTCCCTCTTTGATAAATATGGAATATTGCGAGGAGATGCTAATTTTTGCAAATTTATGATTTTTGCAATCTTTCATTTCTGTAGCAGATTATACTCATAAATTTGGTCCAGAACTTGCCCCCTATTCTTTTATCAGCACTTTAACTTGTCAACTTAACAGTTTACCATCATCTGTATGAAATCCTAATGAGGTTTAAAATATAAGATTCAGTTATTATGATAGGTATAACTGTCTCCAGGTTTCCACAGCAAACAAGCAAGCAAGCAAGAACATACACCACGTTCTGGGGTTATTGCCAGCTTCCAAAAAAAAAAAAAAAAAAAGATATTACAGAGAAACTACAGAATTATTGCCTGCTTTTTCTACTAATGTGTGACTTGCTAGATCACCCTCTAGAGGATAGAGAAGAAAAGGAAAGAAGAACATGGCAGTTAGTATAGATTTTAGTGAGATCTTTCTTCCCATTCGATTTTGTAGGCTAGTATGGCTTCCTGAATAAGAACCAGATGGAAGAAAGTTCTATGAAATCAATGTTGTAAATACACCAGATTGCTACTGGGATGTCCCTTGCTATTTGTGGATAGAATTTATAGGATTTCAGTGTAACTTTGTAACTGCAATTCAATTCTGAGTATATCTGTTTTAGCTGGTTTGTCTATTCTTTGTGTCTAAACTACAAGTTACACAGCAATTAAAAAGCTAATTTGTCTTTCTTTTTGTTTAAAAAAAAACCAAAACAACCAACAATGTCTTTCTCAGCTGAACTTCTGTTCCTCATTCTTTGGTCTCTGGTTGATTGGAAACCTGCTTCTCCTGCCTTCATTTCTCCCTCTTCTTCCGGAGTGGGTCTTTCTCTAAAATGTAGTCGGGTCAGGTAATTTCATTTATATTTCCCCTTTGATTTAAAATGCCAACTTATAACTCGGATGTTACTATTTTCTTAAAAGGACTCTAAACTCTTCAAGTGATCTTGAAAGATTCATCGGCAGGATTTATGGGAAGTGCAGTCCATTTGCTTAGGTAGACAAACATGCATGTGAAGGAAAAATATTTGTCTCATATGAATCAAATAAATAAAGCGCTAATAGCTGCCTTCCAGAGCTTCCATCAGCGTGTTCCTAATTATAGTTTCCAAAATTTTACAACAGTCTTCCAGACAGTTTGGCAGCACCTACCTATGCTGGCAAATGTCGTGGAATTCTACAAAAATAATCTGATTTGTTGCTTAATGGCTCCAAGTCAAACAGGTGTAACTCTCTAATAGAATATCAGGAATTCATGCCACAGAGGAAATCCAGAAACTCAGTAAGGTTTAGACAAATCTGAAATGCTTCACATGGTATCATTTAACTGTGCATTTTCAGTGTTATAATCTCAATACTATCTATCAGAAATATGTCCATTTAGATCAGTATCCACGGGTATATGCAATTGCTGTTAGCTTTGCCTTCCTCCTGAGAAAAGGGTTTGCCAAGATAAGCATTACTATTTCAGTAAAGCACATTTATTTTCTACAAACTACCTTTTGCCAAGTACTAATATAAGCAAATGCTGGAAGAAAAGTAAACTGAAACAGAAATTTGGATCCTTATCCAAATGAAATTAATTATGAGGTAGTAAATAAAGACTCTAAGCTATATAACTGTTATCGATGGTATTTTAGTGTTTCCGTCCCAAGATTTCCACATGTTCTTACACATGTCATCAACTGTCAACTTCTCGTATGGGTTCAATTTGTGATGAATGTTTATATTTGCTGGGTTCTACTGATCCACTTCTGAATTACCCACTTGCCCCTCAGGAGACACAAAATGATTCTAGGGTAAGGAAAGTGCTGCTAGAAAAGGCACCTTGTTTGGGCTGCCCAGCAGCCGATCCCAAGACAGTGATTCCAGAGCAAGTCGTTTACATGGAAGTGAAGAAAACACTATAGGGACTGGGTTGGGAGAAGAAGGCAGCCCACAAAGAAAGTGTTATTAAGTCAGTCCCCACATGGGCTGTTAAATCTTAATCCCACCGAGGAAATCCTGGAAGCCACCAAAGAACACATACTTCAGAGTTACCCGAGCTGCGGCAAGCGTGAGCCTGAGAAATAATTTTGCACCAACATTTGCCAGTCAGCTCCTTGGGGATGTTATCATAACTCTCTTGACCAGGCAGAGTGGCTCACACCTATAATCCCAACACTTTAGGAGGCCGAGGCGGGTGGATCACAAGGTCAGGAGTTCAAGACGAGCCTGGCCAACATGGCGGAAAGCCTGTCTCTACTAAAAATACAAAAATCAGCTAGGTGTGGTGGTGGGTGCCTGTAATCCCAGCTGCTTGGGAGGCTGAGGTAGGAGAATTGCCTAAACCCAGGAGGCAGAGGTTGCAGTGAGCCGAGATTGTGCCATTGCACTCCAGCCTGGGTGACAAGAGCAAAACTCCACCTCAAAAAATAAACAAACAAATAAATAAGAACTCTCTGAACTTTCCAGCCTGCCTCCTGGGCAGACAAAACTGGCATCTATAACCAGAGAAAGTCCCTAGGCAGAGAAGTGCCATGTGGGAAGTTGGCTATCAGCTGGTGTTCACTAAAGTAGTAAGGGCTGGGGGCGGGAGGGGGGCGGGGAAGAGATGAGTACTGAAAGGGTACTACCTGTCAGGCAGGAAGTACTAATTAAACCTCAAATTAATTATTTTTAAATAACCTATGCTCTACTGACTTTTGAGAGTGCAGAAAGTTAAAAAGTGGCTACGTTATTTTAAACATGCTCCTGTTTCACTTTTACTGATCAATAAACTGTAAGTCCTTGGTAAGGAGCAAGGACCCAGAGGCTATAGTTCCAGCCCATTATCACATTATAAGACACATCATGGTCTATATAAAATCAAACAACAGGTAATCCCGTCTCTACTAAAAATACAAAAAAAAAAAAAAAAAAAAAAAGCTGGGCGTGGTTGCAAACACCTGTAATTCCTGCTACTCAGGAGGCTGAGGCAGGAGAATCGCTTGAACCCAGGAGATGGAGGTTGCAGTGAGCCAAGATTACACCACTCCAACCTGGGTGACAGAGTAAGACTCCATCTCAAAAAAAAAAAAAAAAAAAAAAAAAAAGGTCAAACAACAGCTGATTGTCCTTTCAACTCTATGCATTTCAGGTCATTGGAGTAAAGTGTATTAAACAACAAACTGATTCAAATAAACAATAGATGTGGCCATTTATTTAGAGCTGGCTAGAAAATATAAATGGCCACCTATCAATGTTTTTCTGCTTTCTCTTTATTAGGACTTGAGACCAGGAGATGTATCCGGCAAGCGGAACCTCTGGGAAAAGCAATCTGTGGACAAGGTCACTTCCCCCACTAAGGTAATCTACTGGGAGGACTAGTATTTCAGAGGTTTGTTTTCCTGATGGACCCTGCCGTATAATGTCCTGGAGTCAGATAAGAAATATCACTGACCTACAGATCTTTGCCTGCATACCCATCAGCATCTAAAAGACCAGGACATAACACGGTGAAAGGAAAATGCATTGCAAGTTTGTCAGTCCTACAACATAAACCGCCCAAACCCATGAATGGTTCTCAGTAAGACATTCTCAATACACTACAGTGGTAGGAACGTTGGCAGCAGAAGGCTGTATGGGATACCATGGTCTACGTTTCCTTACAAGGTCCTAGCTTGGTGCCAGAGTCATTTAAAGATCCTTGGGGAAAACATCTGTCTCCCTGAGTATTTTCAAAACTGTTTTCTGGAGTCATTTTAGATTATATTGCCACTGCCAGCAGCCTAAGACTCAGGGTTGGTATGGCAAAAAATTAAAATAATACTCAAAAGTAAGGCAAAGAATATTCAAAATTAAAATAATATTCAAAAGTAAGGCAACCATTTACCACCCTATAAAAACAAATGACTAAGAACGATTGTGTTCCTCTTTCACTTTTAGTCTTAAAGGACTGGTCATTCTTCAGAAAGGAGGCTCTGAAGAACATCTAAATGATGCTCAGACTACAAATGTGACCTTTTTTGGTACAATGAGCTCATTCAACTCCCAACTGTTGCCTTTCCCCATTTCAAGCAATGGGCCTAGTCTTCTCCTTCAATAAAGAAAAATTAAAAAGGGAGACACTGAAGACCAACAGTAGGCAAGGTTACAACAGGCTGCTTACAAGTTAATTTAAACAGAAGCACTTCTTAAGCAAACTCAGGACTAAAGAACACATCAAAGGCAACTAGAGACTCACTACGATTCACTACAGTGAGAAACTTACCTTCCCTTTCCTGTTTTCTACATGCTCTTAGTTCTGGTGCAGCTGCCTAAACATGTTACCCCACCTTCACCATTAGCTACATATGACGCTTTTATTCCATTAAAATCCACTAGCCCAGCCTCTCTACTTAAGGTGACTTTTAAAGAAGTTCCACTTTCTAAGTCATTGCTAAACATATGAAAACTGCCTGCTGGTAATGATGACATTACAAACTCCTAGCACTAAGTGAGCACTCCACTATATGCCAGACACTCTTCTACCTTCTTACCCTCCGTTACCTCATTTGATCCTCCACTTACTATGTGAGGTAAGTAGCGTATCATTCTAATTTTGCACCTGAGAAAAACGAGGCGCTGAGAAATGAAGAAACTTCCCCAAGGTCACACAGCGAAAAGTAGCGTAACCTGTGCTGATACTCCAGCAGTCTGATGTGAGCCTGCATTCTTAACCATTATACTTTTCCTGCACACGTCTAAAGTCTATACTTTGCCATCAGCATCTAAAAGACCAGTACAGAACACGGTGAAAGGAAAAGCACATTGCTAGTTTGTCAGTCATACACATAATGTAAGCAGCCCAAACCCATGGAAGGTTCTCAGTAAGACATTCTCAATACACCACAGTGGTAGGAACATGGTCATATCTTTCTTCTAGGATACATATTCAGGAGAAAGTGTATAGTCGTTCAATTCCTTACATATTTTCTCCCGGTGGCAGGGGAGAAAAGAACTTTCTTTGTTTTTTTATTTTATTTTTTTGAGACAGAGTCTCACTCCGTCACCAGGCACCAGGCTGCTGTGCAGTGGCACGACCTCGGCTCACTGCAACGTCCGCCTCCCAGGTTCAAGCAATTCTCCTGCCTCAGCCTCCCAAGTAGCTGGGACTACAGGCGTGCCACCACGCCCAGCTAATCTTTTTGTATTTTTAGTAGAGATGGGGTTTCACCGTGTTGGGGAGGATGGTCTCGATCTCTTGACCTCATGATCTGCCCGCCTCGGCTGCCCAAAGTGCTGGGATTACAGGCGTGAGTCACTGCGCCCGGCCTCTTTGTTATTTTTTTAAGCGAAGAATGAGCTTGTTGACCTAAGCCTTTATGACCACTGCAGCCCATGCTATTAGCGCATTGCAGGTGTGTCAGCCATGTGCTATAAATTGCCCAGACCTATGGAATGGTTCCCAGGAAGGCATTCTCCATACATCACAGCGGGAGGAACGTGGACAGCACAAGGTGTCCTCTCAGACCTCCGAGAGGTATCCGACCTCGAATGGCAGTCCCAGTGTTGATATCGTTGCCGTCTGAAAAGGGGATGTCAGCTGGCCATACACCATCATCACCAATGGAGTGTCTCTGGATAACATTCCTTCCAGCCAGAGCTCTGGAAAGTGGGGCACAGATGCTGTGGAATGGTCAGACTCGGTGAACACCACTCACATACATACACGAATGGTACTCCCTGGAGTTGTGTAGCACCCAGGGCAGTACAAGGTAGGAGGGTAACAGTGTGAGTTTTCACATGCCACTATTTCTACAGTAGTAATAATATAACCACCAGAGAGAGAACTGAGTTTATGGGGTAGCAGATTAGGTAGCTCTTTTGCTCCAAAATGTCAAACTCATTTCTTGTTACTCAGTCATTCCTTAGAAATGAATACAATGGCCGGGCGTGGTGGCTCACGCCTGTAATCCCAGCACTTTGAGATGCTGAGGTGGGTGAATCACAAGGTCAGGAGTTTGAGACCAGCCTGGCTACTGTGGTGAAACCCTGTCTCTACTAAAAATACAAAACTTAGCTGGGACTACGCACCTGTAGTCCCAGCTACTAGGGAGGCTGAGGCAGGAGAATCACTTAAACCTGGGAGGTGGAGGTTGCAGTGAGCTGAGATCATGCTACTCCACTCCAGCCTGGGTGACAGAGCCAGACGAGAGGGGGGAAGGGGGGAGGAGGGGGGAAGGGGGGAGGAGGAGGGAAGAGGGGGGAAGGGGGAGGGAGGAAGGAAGGGAAAGGAAGGAAGGAAGGAAGGAAGGAAGATAATGAACACACTTGAAAATCTGAATTCACAATACTATTTCTTAATAGCTTAGCAAATAATTTTAGCAACTAGCTGAGGGGGAGAGAAGGATAGAAGAATGGGACTGGGTCAGGTAAGTTTCAGGGGTAGGGGTGTAAGAATAGGAGGGAGAAAATAGATTGCTAGATTAAAAATGGGAGAAAACTGAAGATAAACATATCCTCCTTCAGCATCATACATTGATGTGGCCCTAACTGAGCTATTCAGTCACATGTACCTGTCCTGGAATACACACTGTAGATTTTTGGCTCTTACAGTGGAGTTTAAAAAACAAAAAACAAAACAAAACAAAAACACCTTTCTTGACTCTAAATGCTATGAGCAAGGCCAAAGGTTAAGATAGAAAAAGAGAACATAAAGGAGAAAGATAGGAAGAGGGGAGTGAAAAAAATCAGCAGAAGGAAGGATAAAATAAAAGGAGATCTGGCTAGGTGCAGTGGCTCACACCTGTAATCCCAGCACTTTGGGAGGCCAAGGCAGGCAGATCGCTGGAGGTTAGGAGTTTGTGACCAGCCTGGCCAACATGTAGGGAAACCCTGTCTCTACCAAAAATACAAAACTTAGCCGGGCTTGGTGGTGCATGCCTGTAAGCCCCAGCCACTCCGGATGCTGAAGTGGGAGAATCACTTGAACCCAGAAAGCAGAGGTTGCAGTGAGCTGAGATCACACAACTGCACTCCAGCCTGAGTGACAGAGCAAGATTTCATCTCAGAAAAACAAAACAATAAAAAAATAAAAAATAATAAAATATCATATTTGAATAGAATGCCAACAATAATTCTCTTTCATAATTATTTATTCCTGCCAAACTATTATTCCTTTTTCTTCTGACTACAAAAACCTTCTGCCTGAAACACTGTAGGCTGTCAATTTCAAGTTCTTTTCTCTTGGCAGGTTTGAAACAGTTCAAGAAAGAACCCAAGCTCAAGACGCGGGACGAGCTCAGTTGTAGAGAGCTAATTTGCTCTGTTTTGTATTTATGTTGATTTACTAAATTGGGTTCATTTTATATTTTAATATCCCAATAAACCCATGTATATTATCACTATATTTAATAATCACAGTCTAGAGATGTTCAAGGTAAAAGTACTGCCTTTGCACAGGAGCCTGTTTCTAAAGAAACCCATGCTGTGAAATAGAGACTTTTCTACTGATCATCGTAACTCTGTGTCTGAACAGTGATACACCAACCACATCTGAAGTCAACAAGGTCCAAGTTTAAAATTGCCTGCGGAATGTGTGCAGTATCTAGAAAAATGAACCATAGTTTGTTTTTTTTTTATAAATACAGAAGTCATGTTGTTTCTGCACTTTATAATAAAGCATGGAAGAAATTATCTTAGTAGGCAATTGTAACACTTTTTGAAAGTAACCCATTTCAGATTTGATATACTGCAATAATGGTTGTCTTTAAAAAAAAAAAAGGAAATATACTGTTAAGGTATTACTTTTTTTCATGCTGATTCATATCTAAATTACATTATTATGTTAGCTGACAGTGGTACTGATTTTTTAGGTTGGTTGTTTTGTGGATTTCTTTAGTAGTGATAGTAGCCTGAACCACATTTTAGATAACTCAATTATGTATGTATGTGCATACACATATACAAACACACTAATGGTAGAATGCTTTTTTATGTGCTAGACTATTATATTTAGTAGCATGTCATTGTAACTAGCCAATATCACAGCTTTTGAAAACTTAAAAATCACAATATATTAATATTTCATATTTGCCAACAGAAACATGGCAGATAGGTATCAATACGTTTTCAATGCCTGATGACCTATAAGAAGAAAGTATTGGGGAAAAAAGAGATTAGAAGTGTCACAAGGAGTTGAAATTTTCTAAAAGACATAGTATTTAGTTTATAATTAAATGCAATCTTGAAGTCCAGTGTGAATTTTATTAATGCTATCATCTCAATCAAGCTCAAAGCCTGCTTATTCAAAACAAGGAAGTTCACAGTATGTCATAAGATCTTGCCTCTAAAATGGAAAGACAAGAAATTTAGTGACAATATTGTACAGATTGCAATTCCATGTATAGGTCTAAACAAAGACAAATGACTTTGGCTAAATGTCTGGAAGCAGAGAAGTAAAGTGAGCAAAACCCAGTGTTTGGGAGTCATGACAGTACTTTCATCTTTACATACTCTGAAACTTTTTTTTAATTAAACTTTTCTACTTTTAATTGTCATTGGCACTTGTCATAAGTTGACAAAGTGGTAAAATTTCAAAGTTATATGTAACTTCTACTAGTTTTACTTTTTCTCCAAGTCTTTTTTAACTCATGATTTTTTTTTTTTTTTTTTTTTGAGACGGAGTTTCGCTCTTGTTACCCAGGCTGGAGTGCAATGGCGTGATCTCAGCTCACCGCAACCTCCGCCTCCTGGGTTCAGGCAATTCTCCTGCCTCAGCCTCCTGAGTAGCTGGGATTACAGGCACGTGCCACCATGCCCAGCTAATTTGTTTGTATTTTTAGTAGAGACGGGGTTTCACCATGTTGACCAGGATGGTCTCGATCTCTTGACCTCGTGATCCACCCGCCTCGGCCTCCCAAAGTGCTGGGATTACAGGCGTGAGCCGCTGTGCCCTGCCTTAACTCATGATTTTTATACACACAATCCAGATCTTATTACAGCCTCTAAGTCCTTATTCTTCACGGTAGATAATGAACGAGTCCTCCAGTGTCCTGGCAAAATGTTCTGGTATAGTTGGATACATCCAGTGGAGTTATATAAACTCATCCCTCAGTGGACTTAACCAAAATTGTGTGTCTCAATTCCTAACACACTGAGGGAGCCTCTCCAATAACTATTTCCTTATACAGTGTTCCTCCAGAAGTGCTAACTAGGGCAGGGCTGGCATTAGAAGTGACCCCTGCATTCCAAAGTCTATTTTCCTTACAAGTCTGTAAAGAACAGTTGAATCTCCTAGCTTTAGATACCTGGGCCAAAGGAAGGAAATCCACAAAGAACGCACAAGTCAAAACACTCATTACAGAGTAGGCACAAGTCTACCAGAAGCTAAATTAGAATACACAAACAGAAGTGCCCCAGGCAGCACTGACTCCCATCATTGGAGTGAAATGGATCAAAGTTTCAGTTAAGGCCTATGGTAAGGTAACATTGCTTTGTTTTATTTTTGAACAAGAGCTTCTCCTGATCACTATTATATATTTTTCTAGAAAATCTTAAGTTCAGAAGAGAATGGATCACTCTTGACTTTTGTTCCAAAATTTGGATGGAGTAAGTTTCAGGGTAGAATTTTGTTCAGTTTGGATTTAATCTTTTGAAAAGTAAATTCCTTGTTTACTGGTTTGGCTATAATTCTCTGTTATCTTAAAGAGGTAAAACTGCAAGCTGACTAGCATGTTCTGTGAATCTGCCATTCCTAAAAATTTTATAAACACTTGATATTTTTCACTGATAATTGATCGCTGCAATAAAAATATATTGTGAAAATGCATCCACAATAAATGGAATTCTTACAAAATGTCTTTGCCTCACTTATTACAGTATTGATAGTGAGAGGTATGTCTATTGTAATAAAGACTATGGCACAGTAAAACCTGTATTTCAGGTTGAGTCGTGGTCTCACTCTTTAAAGAAGAAAAGTATTTTCATATTTTTAAAATGCTTATTACAAGCAATTATTTAACAAAATATAGAAAATTGGCCTTAGGCCAGGCACAGTGGCTCACACCTGTAGTCCCAGCACTTTGGGAGGCTGAGACAGATGGATCATAAGGTCAGGAGTTTGAGACCAGCCTGACCAACATGGTGAAACCCCATTCCTACTAAAAATACAAAAATTAACTGGGCATGGCGGTACACACCTATAATCCCAGCTACTCAGGAAGCTGAGGCAGAAGATTCACTTGAACCTGGGAGGCAGAAATTCCAGTGAGCTGAAATCACGCCACTGCATTCCAGGCTGGGCAACAGAATGAGACTCCATCTCAAAAAAAGAAAATTGGTCTTATGTCAACAACTAACCAAACATGTATGGGAAAGGCTAAAGAGGGATTTTTCAAATCCTTCGTAAAAGAAACTATTGTCTGGGCACAGTGTCTCATGCCTGTAATGCCAGCACTTTGGGAGGTAGGAGGATTGCTTGAGCCCAGGAGTTCAAGACCAGCCTGAGCAACATAGCAAGACCCTCTTCTGTACAAAAAAATCAAAAAGCCAGGCATGGTGGCATATGCCTGTAGTCCCAGATACTCAGGAGGCTGAGGCAGGAGAATCCCTTGAGCCCCGGAGGTCAAGGCTGCTGTGAGCCCTGATCACACCACTGCACTCCAGCTTAAGTGACAAAGCAAGACCCTGTCTCAAAGAAAAACAGATACTAACAAATGTCCCTCCAACCTCCTTCTCATTGCCCGTGTTGTCACATACCAGCCCTCTGGCTCCTAAGATGGGCAGTACTGTTTTCCAAAAGGTAGCGTCTCTTATAGTAGAAACACCCATTTAATATATACCATTTATTAGTAGAATACTTAGTACTTGCAAGGGACTGGTGATTACATGTGAATCCAAAGTTATTTTTTCATGGTAATGTTGCATATTTATGTAGCACTATCGGACTGAAATTAGAAGTTCTCATAAAGGTTTTAAAATGTGAGTTTGAAGCTCCTGAACAGTTCCCTCAAACACTGCCCATAAGATTGACACAACTGGCTGGGCACAGTGTGTATGTAATCCCAGCACTTTGGGAGGCCCAGGCAGGTGGATCATGAGGTCAGGAGTTCAAGACCAGCCTGGTCAATATGGTGAAAGCCCATCTCTACTAAAAACACAAAAATTAGCTGGACATGGTGGCACGCACCTGTAGTCTCAGCTACTCGGAGGATGAGGCAGAAGAATTGCTTGAACCTGGGAGGCAGAGGTTGCAGTGAACCGAGATTGTGCCACTGCACACCAGCCTGGGTGACAGAGTACCACAAAAAAAAAAAAAGATTGACACAACTAAGATACTATTAAAAAAAATTACTATTTTTATTTCTGTGTCCTAACAAGAAGGGTGATAAGTATAGACAATAGTATAGTTGTTTTCAAAATCAATTTGCAAAATTAAGCAATGGAAAGAATACAGTCTAGTACCAATACCAAACTGATAAGATTAGAGATGAATAGAAATTGATTTTATGATGTGTATATTCAGGATATGAGCTTGAAAATGCACTAGTGTCCTCTGTAATATCAAAACAGGTCTGTATTAAAGGTTTTTTCCTGCCTTTGCTTGCATGTATGCTCCAAGTGGAAGACTGGATAAGAAAAAAGATCTCATCCTAAATTTGTATTCTTCCATTGGCATTAGGAGATGACTAACAAGGTCCTGATTTGAGGGCAGTGTCTATTTTCGTCAAATCTATTAATCATGTTGTTATAATATTCTATATCCTACTGATTTTTTCCTTTATCTGTTACTGAGAAAGGAAAATGAAAAATCTCCCACTATGATTATGGATATCTCCCTGTAATTCTGTTATTTTTGCTTTCCATATTTTAAGATTATTTTTAGGGGAAATATTCAATTCACTAGGGAGATATAATGATTCTAGATCTTTAGCTAAAGATCACTATGAAGTGACCCTCTATTTGAACAAAAACTTTTGCCTTAAAGTTTTTTTTCTATTTTTTAAAATTACTACAGTGGGTTTCTTTTGACTAGCACTTGCATCACATTATTTTTTCCATTCCTTAAATTTCAACTTCTATATATTTTTTGGTCTTAGATGTGTGTCTTCAACAATCACATGGTTTGGGTTTGGGTTGTAATCCAATCTGATGATCTTTAAGCTTCAACTGGAATATTTGGTCCTTTCATATTTAATGTAATTACTGATATGTTTGTATTTAATAGTATCCTAGCTATGTGCCACCTATACTATATTACTTCTTCTTTCTTGTTCATGCTGGGGCTGCTTCTGCTTCAGAGCATACGCTGATCTACAATTGGCAGCTGAGAGGCTGAGCTAGATCTTGGGCAATACAATGGAACTAGAGAAAGAAAAGTCAGAATCTGCTAACTGCCAAGGATTAGGGCTTGGTAAACTACTTCTACCTTTGATTGGGTCTTCAGAGAGCTGCATTCCAAAAGTAAGGTGAATTTAAAGTTATCTGCTCTTCAGACAGATTGCCACCTAGCTTCACTCTGTGGAACAATTCTAGTATTCTAACAAGGAAATAAATGATCAATGGTAAAGATGAGAAAAACAATTCAAGAATTTAAGAGATAAAGTAGCATAAAGCTCTAGCACGTAAATGTCAAAGAACTATGCAGCATATAGTTGCCGGCATTTAGAGGGAAGAGAGAATACTTCAGCCTGGGGTAATCAAAAGAGAAAAATATCTGCCTTAAAGTTTTTTGTACCCCTAGAAGTGTACTCAGTACCTCTACAAATAACAGAGATTGGTAAGTGATAAGATGATTTCATGAGCAACTCAGTTTATAAACTTTGCTAAATGTGCTGCTGTCAATTTCGGTAAAGTTTCTAGAGTTCTGAGAGTTCAGTTTTGTGACCTCTTATATTACTAAATTTATAATTCATGTATCAACTCAGCTCTGCATCTCAGCTCTGTAAATAACATTGGTTTCTTACATCACTCCAATGCAGTTTGTTGGTAGTGGTGTTATTGTTGTTTGGAGACAGAGCCTTGCTTGGTCACCAGGCTGGAGTGCAATGGCGAGATCTCAGCTCATCGCAACCTCCACCTCCCAGGTTCAAGCAATTCTCCTGCCTCAGCCTCCTGAGTAGTTTGGACTACAGGTGTGCACCACGATGCCCAGGTAAGTTTTATGTTTTTAGTAGAGATGGGGTTTCACCATCTTGGCCAGGCTGACCTCAAGTAATCTGCCTGCCTTGCCCGGTGCTGGGATTACAGGCATGAG